ATCTCTTTCGCATTAAAAATAAAATATATATGTGCATATGTATGCATGGATATTTCACGGATTCTAATTCGTCAAATGTATTTTCCATGTTACGTTACATATCACATTATACACCTTGCGAATTCTCTTGCGAATTCTGCAGATCGTCTAAAATAGAGTTAATGTAATTTCGCGCGAATGTAACTTTTATTTCAAATGCAACTTGCGTATCCCGCGTGTAATTTCATCGTTTCGTAACGTGCAAACTTCTCTCTCTCGAATCGTTATTTTCTAGTCTCATTTGCTCCCTTTCTCGCCTCTTCCCTCTCTCTCTCTCTCTTTTAATAATAAGAACTTCTGTGATGAAACTTACATTTGTCGATTTGCACCGCTACATGTCTACCATATATAATAAACATGCGTATATATCGCAATGTCGTTCGCAATTCATGGTGACGATCGCAGATTCCGCGATTGCATGATTCCTTGCCTCGCATCGATAGGAAAAATGGAAAAAATTATTGACTTTCCGGGAAAAAAAAAAGGGAAAAAAACGGTGCGGCAGATAATTCCACGAGATACGGAAGTCGATACGTTTCGCGGAAATGACACAGCATAAAATATCGGAATTAATCCTCGAGTTTTTTTTTTTTTTTTTTTTTTTTTTCATCAATGAAATCCAGCACCAGGCTGAAAATGGCACGTTATTCTTTCCCGTATCATATATCAAAACCCCCAACCGGGGGTAAAAAAAGGGGGAGAAAAAAGGGGGGAGGAACAAGAAGAAACAGGGAATTGTCGCGTATCGCCGCGCATATTTTATACGAGTTTTACATAGTCATGTAAAATGCAGCTGCAAATGTAACACGCTTTATTAGCTCGACATATATTTCGTGTGCACAATAATTGAGCGTAACTTATTCATACGAGCGATGTGTTTACAAGCGCGAGCTCGAAGCGATAATTCGTCGCTTTTGCGCCGTCGCGATCGAAGATGATCGGAATGAATATTCATACGAGCTTTCGCGAGCATCATCAGCTTGCGGCCTGAGCTCTGCGAACGATCGCGGAATCATCGAACGCCTATTTTTCCCCAGCTCGTTATTTTTTCATCGCGGGAAAAAAAGAAGAGAGGAAGGGGTTTATCGCGATTAATCAAACGTCGTATCGATCGTGTCACCGACGCGCGCAAATTGCGGCGCGATTATCTCCGCTTGATTCCGCGTTCAATTGCGGAATCTGTGGTGCCATCCGTTAACCAGGGACAGAAATATTTCGCGGGCATATGCATTTTCATCCGGTGCAATGCGCATGCATGCATATATTCTCTCTCCTAGAAGACACTGTGCAAGATGCAGCCCGAAAGCTCACCGAATGTGTGTTGCACTTTGCACTTGGCAAGGCGCAGCTTATCGGGAGCACCGTTTTTCTCGTGCTCGTGCGCTTTGTAGTTCACCTAGTTTATCCTCGGCGCATGCGAGGCCAGAAAGTGGAAGCATAAATGTTGTGACGGGGCAACACACATGCGAGCGTTTTATATATATTTATGTATAATGCATATAGAGCCGCCTTTGGCAGGTTCGATCGTCCAATATTTTGCACGTCGCACATTACAAAATATAATGTCACGAGATAAATTTATATTGAATCCTTTTCGTCATAATATATATTTTGATGAAAATGTAGAGAAAAATTATCATTCTTAATTTCTCGCAATGGAGATAGTCGCGAGTCAAGTTTTTCACGCGAATAAAAAAAAGATTGAAATTTTCTTTCAATATAGATATTTCTGAGATAATGAGCTTATGTAATGCAAAGTGCTCCGTCATGCATAAAAATTGACTTTATTCATGCAAATTTATTGACAGTGTCGCAAGCTGTTCCGCCCGATATACACATTTTGAAAAATATATCGAGAGGGCAGAGAACTCGCAGGTGTATCGCAGAACAGGAACTTACTCTCCTCCACAAGCTCCATGGAATCTCGGGCAGAGGTCCAACGAGAGGGTTTGCGAAAATTTCTTTACGATCACATCGGGCCGCGAATTATTCCGCTGGTCCGGCGCCAAGAGAGGATCCTGTATTCATCCGTCTCGATTTGTCATCGTCCCGATTCACGAGCGTTCGCGAAATACTGGTAAGACGCGCCCCATTTTCTCCGCAACCGCGCATCGATATCGGAGTCAAAGGTCAAAGTGGAAATACACGCGAGGAAGTAATTCCGATCCGCATTATTGGATCTCCTTGGATTCTCCTCGCGGGATGCTACACACACCCTCAACAACGTATAAGAGAGCGACGTCTTTGTCGGAGATTTCTCACGGAAGGTCGGAATGCATTACGCGCATTAATGCGTTTCCATTAGGGTTGTCGAAGAGTTTGTCTCGCATCGTTTTACATCTCTCTGCACGGAGAAGACGGTAGTACATACTCGGAGGAAATTAATTATTACGACAACACGAACGCGAAGCGTAAATTGCACGCTCGCGTTTAATCGCAGACAATCACCCGAGGCGGTCGAGAACAATATCGGGAAGGATGAACGTGGGGAATTAACTCTCCTCGAATTTCTCGAACCAATCTGAGCATATCCTATACGGAGGATCGATCGGTGTTTGTTTTTAGATTACTTGGAAAATTCGCGATTCGCGTTTATATAAGTGAAAAAGGTTAAACCCCGAAGGAGAGCGACGGCGGAGTGTAATCGAGGTTTCCGCGAACTTTCGCCGCGGAATTTTCGCGAGGCGAGGATTTTTTCGCTCGCCGCTCCGATGGCAGAATCGTCCGAACTGTCGGCGACGACCATCATCCTTCCTCAAATCCCCGACGTGACGCCGCTCCGGTTTCCACCGTCGCCAGGCAACGGAATCCGCATTCGTGTGCGAGTACTCGCGTATTGAGTTTAACGTGTATCCCAGTATCCGTGAGAGCGTCTGACATATATCTATATCTATATGCTCTCGCGGCCTGGCGCCATCGATTGACGCCAGCCGCTCCTGGCCTCGTGGACCACATCCGAGGACTGAAACTAAGGCGCGTTCTCTCTCGCTCTGTTATATGTATCGAGTGAAATCTTCATTGCAACAGATACGCGAGAAAAAAAATTCGTGCACATTTACAATTTATAATAATTAATTTTATTCTATTCATTTGTATATCTCGACGGAGAGGAATTTAATGGTTTTTGTTCGCACAAACGAGTAGCATCGAAATATCTGAGCGAGATTATATATTCATAAGCCGCTAAATCACTATATGTGAGTGTGATGCAGATGCTGAATGACGGGTGCTTTTTCATCGTATCACGGCAATTACAAGTGGCGACTGAATAAGTGACGAGAGGATCTTTTATTCTGCTATAGATTACGAACGTTTAGTGGTGAATCGTTCGTGCGTTGTAATTCCTTTTTTTTTGTCGCTCAAACCATGTTTCATAAAAATATACTCACATATTGTCTATTCATGCAGCGGCTGCGCGAAATTCTAAAAAATGCAAAACTGAAAAAAAATGTATAACTTTACGGGCGCGAATAAAGAATTCAGTTTCTTCGTTATTGAAGCACCTTTCCAGAACTCTTTGAGAAAACTCCAATCTCCATGCTGACGAGAGCAGCATTTCGGTCAATAATCACGTTCACAGATTGTTACTATTGCATTCTGCGAGCACTTGAACCGTATACTCAACGCGATGCTTAGGAGATAAAAGAGAAAAATATGAGAAAGAGATTTTTAAGACCATCTTATCTCGTGCATTTTCGATTCAATGTGCATAAAATGAAAATTGTCAGAGAATTTAACATTTTCTCTTGTCGAATTATAAAATTATATTATTTTTGAAAATTATTCTATGCTTGAATTTGTCATATTCATCAATTCAATTGCGCATATCGTAAAAATCGACCGTTGTAATTAAAAAATTATTAATGATTGGGAATTTAGCTGAAACTTGTGAGACTTGAAGAAGAAGAAGAAGAAGAAGAAGAAGAAGTCGAGACATAATTGTCACGGTCAGCAAAGTCGATATCTCAGGACAGTAACCCGCACTCTCTTGCAAGCACTCTATTGCAAGCCCACAAGTATCAGTACTCGCGCAGTTACATATATATATGTGTGTTTCACATAGCGGCATACGGTAAACATTACGGCGTGCAATAATCGAGTTATCACATTAACGGCGTGCGCACACACGTCGGTCATGCATAAATAAATATAATAATCCGCAAAGCGGCGTTTCCTCGATTCGCCGAGCGAATTAACGCGCGCTTTTGTCGAACGATATTTTATTTAATGTTCGTGGGAATCATGTGTGCGTTTTCGCTGGTATATATACATATATATATAGAGCCCCGGCCCCGGGTGGTCGGCCCTCTTCTTTCGTGTTCGCTTGCATTATTTATGCAGCGGCATTGTTTTAACACCGATTCGGATCGTTTAAAATGAATAAAGATATTGGGTGTATAGCGTATGTAGAAAATAAAATTATAACACATCGTCGACGCAACGCATAAATAAAATAACGAGTAACAATTAAATTCTGCTTCCTAGCAACACGCAGAATATAATTGTTTTGTACTCGTGTTGCCGCGCTTATTATTGTAAGAATTATATTTTTATATATACTGCCATATTTAGCACCGAGATGCCAATATCATTCAGAGATTGTTGTACGCAAACAAAAACTGAAATATTTTATTTCACTCGACACCCTTTCCGCGATATTCTATTCTTGAATAAAATTTTGCATTTTTTTACAGGGTAATTTGAATGCGACTTCCAGACACATCGAAATATTCGCTGAAACTGCTCGATTTAAAATGAAAATCGATAAGCTGAAATTGCAGGCGATATAATTTATGATTTCATCAGTCGATATTTTGATGAATACACATAGCGGACAATAGAGTCTATTTGCATAGTGAAGAAAATATTAGAATATGAATGTTTTTTGAACTGCTGCCAAATGTGAGAAATGGAGGAATATATTCATCACACACGGATAAACACACAAAACAGGAACACAATTTAGTTAAATGAATTTATAATAAACTCCATAAGTCTGTACATCAATGAAATCAGCCTTGTTAGTAAATTAGTTACACTTTAATACGAAATATGGAATAATCGAGATACACAAAGTTGTCGTTATCATATAACTCGATATAGCACACATTTTTTTATTCCTCGCTTATTAGTATATTGTCCCTAAGTAGCAACACAAAAGAAGTTCGCGCGAATATCCGATTCAGGTACATCATCTCGCACACTGTAAAATACTTAGGCGGGGCCGCAATATATCCTCGATCACTTTTACTTATCGATTATTCGTACAGAGAGAGAAAGTGTATGTAGTGTTGATAAGTGTAAGCGTGTGTGTCGAACAAATTTTTTTTTTTTTTTTTTTTTTTTACGCATTCGCCTTTGGCGCGCAGATGCATATCCCTGCGTATGCTTGCATTATATGCATTATGTGTGTATGTATATTTGTATGACTGTCGAGGAATACGCACGTACATTCATGTTACACATTATAGTCTCTTTCTGAGTTATAAAAGTACGAAAAAAAAAACTATCTTTTCATACGATGCGACAAAACGTGCTATATATAATATATATATTTATATATATAATATATACCTACACATTGCAAACACATTATCCCGCTGGAAGGAAGCAAGAGTACATGATCTAATAATAATAAAAAATATCTCCCGATACATATGTACGCATTATACATATATATCGTAAGTATATCCAGCTGTATATATCCAGTCGTCGCTATAGTGCTTTTGCAACATTCGTTGATGTGTGAACGTCGAATAAATGATCTCGCCAGGAGTTTGTCCTCGAATTTCGTCATCGATTCTTTCTTTTTTTTCCCTCTAATCTCTCCTGTCATCCCGAAGCAGATCGAACTCCCAGCCGCGCCCCGTCACTTCCATTCCTCCGCCGTACTACGAACAAGCCTTTCAGGTTTCAACGCCTTGACGTGGCCCAAGGAGCCCTCCCTGTGTTCGCTCCGGTTGTATATTGCTGCTGTCGTGGCGATCCGAGGCGATCCCATAGAGGAAACGTCATCATCGCACAAAGCGCCTCTCGAGCTCTCACAAGCACGTCGACATACGCAAAGTGTTCCAAAGCGCGTTTCCCGAACGATGCACGATACGCCTTTAACGAATGACGATTAGAAGAAGCGCAAGCAATTCCAACACGAGCCCCGTCGAGAGTCGCCGGCTCGCCGTGGAGGACCCCAGCACTGCAAAAGATTATCGTACGAGACGGTCTTAGTCTTGCTTTTTCTCGCTCGATTAAGACGCGGCGGAATTTAGAATGCTTCGCTTTACCGAATGCCTCGATTGTACGTAAAGCAAACGTGCCTGTTCAAAGAGCTCGCCGGATGTTGTGTTCAAGCCCGGTTGAAAACAAAGCGAGGTTCTTGAATATCTTTCGATAAATAAGCGAGAACGTATTTACGTGCTCTTACGTTGAAGCAATCAAAGAAGAGATAAGAAGAAGACCTTTACCTTTCACTCCGACCTGGCCGTCGGGTTTCTTCTGACCGGTCTGAAAATTCGGCGGCGGCTGCAAGTAGTTGATGCCGACGATAGTCGCGGCAGGCTCGTAATGTATCACCCTTGGCCGATCCTCCTCGGCGCTGACCTCCGTGCTCTGCCAATAAATATCGTATATTGACGCGCTGCAGCGTATTTTCAGTTTGCCCGTCATGAAGTGCTCGGACGTAACCAGGAACTGGAGTCCAATCTGCGAGACTTGCCACTCGGATTCGTTCGTGTCGAGCGGGCTGTACGTGCGAACGTGCGACTTGAGAGGCTGAACAAGACAGAACCAAAATGGATCACAAAATCAATCAACGATATTATCGGGAATTTCTCTCTAGGCGTCCACAGGAGGGGACATAATTATATTTTTTCTTCTCATTTTTTAATTTTTTTTCTACGTTAAATATGCAAACAACTTGCAGTGTTTATTCAAAAGAAGAGCAAATGCCTCCCTCTGCGGACGCCCATAGATAGCAGAATACTGTAGATATAAATATATGATTAAATGTATAGAATGTGTGAAGAAAAGTAATTGATAACGAAATTGAAAGCTTATTAACTTTTTTGACCATTCATGCATTTAGAGCCTGCATTCATGCATTTAGAGCATGCATTCATGTACTTTGACAGAAGTATAAATTATTTCAAATAATTTTAATCTTGAAATATAAAATAATCAAGTTTTATTAATCGATTTAATCGGTACGCCGTGAGTTGACAATATAAAAGGATGAACACACTACTGCAAGATAAATTACATGTATTATACATTTAATTGTGAAATTGCGATGTAGAAATGAAAAATCATTCTTTTGCGTTATTTCATACGTTTTAATGCCGTTGTTATATAAATTGTCGGTAGGATGGCGATTTCATTTTTCCATAGTATTCGTATCTAGCACGCGAAATAATTTACGTACGTGTACGTTAATGCGAGGTAATTATGAAAGCTATTCTGTGAAAATAATGTTTTTATGAAAAAGCACTTTAAACTGTAAAACTCGCCTATAAGCTTCTAGAAAATTTTCAGTTTAAGAGCACAGTTTTCAGAATATTATATCCGCAACATTTCGAATTTTAGATACTTTGACGTATTGACGTATCGGCTGTTCAAAAATTTAAAAGAAATTTCCGAACATCTCGAATTATCTTATAACATCTTAATTAAGTCCGGGCGATATTTATGGAAATATACCGTACGTCAATCGCGCGTGAGAGAGATCAGAATGTTGAATGATTTTCCACCCTGCGCGAACGTTGCCCTCTCTAACTTTGGAACATGTCGAGGAGGAAGGTATCCCATAAGCTCCCTTGTCTCCGACGTTTGATCAGGGATAATGGATCAAAGCCAAGGTAAACTAAATAGAGGTATCTGTTTCCTTCCCTCCTCCGAGCGTCCCCATATACCTTTCCGTCTCTCCTCGTCTAACCACACGCGCATTACCATCATTAGCAGTTGGAGCATACCTGTCGATCGTTGATATACCAAGTGAGATTCGCGGCTGGCTTGCTCCGGCCGGATGTACAGTTCAAACGCAGCATATCGTCGACACGATATTTCCTCTTTAGCCCTTGTATCGACGGCATCTGAGAGGGTAATTCTGCGAATGCAAGATATATTCCGTGTATAATCCCGGATCTAATTCGCTCCATAAATCGTTTATATTTTTTTCTCGCTATAGCTCAGCGAATTATCGAACCGTCATACTTTTCTTCCTTTTTAGCTATTCTTTAGATATTAAAAATTCTTCCGACAAATATTCTCAAATTATTAATAATTAAATATCCAACAAATAAAAGTTACTCGAGATTGATAACATTTTCAAGGGAATTTCTCTCTTTTTTTTTTTTAATCGGCTTCTCGATAAGGAGTTCCCACAAGGGCTTGACATTGGGAAATCACAGAATACATATACATATGCATGTAAAAGGTGGCTAGGTCTGGGATACCCTGTATGTGTACTGTATACACGCGTCTAAACATTCGCACGAGCTTGCGTGCAGCCGAGTCGTCGTCGCTTTGACCGGGCTTGACCGGACCCGTCGTCGTTCACCAAAGCCCGACATAGCCCGAAACTTTCGGCGGCGTTGACGGTCGGTCGATACGAGGGAGCGAACGCTCTCCCCTCGTATTCTCGTATCGCTCGTAGAAGAAACTCTCCTTTCTTACGATATATACGGACCGTCTCTCGTTACATGTCGTCGTACAACGCATGTGCGCGCGAATTGTTACAAGCGCGTTACGTCACCGCTGGAGTTCTCGCTCGCGAAATATTACTTTTTTCCGCCTTTTTTTTTTTTTTTTATGAAGGACGTAAATTCGTATGCTTCGTCGCGCCTTTACGGCGGCGGAAAACGCGCGACGGATAAAAATGTCGCCGCTCTGACGAGAGAGCGCGAATATTGAGCAGATCCGTTCTTTCGGAAGATTTGTGTCGCATCGGAAATACGAGCGAGCGTTTTCGCGGATATATATATATATATATATATTTCTTTTTTTCATTCGCGAGCGAGGCTGGTTATGACGTGCGCGAGAGACGCGAGAGTAATTAAAAAAGGTATTTAATTCTCTCCGATGAAGAAGAGAGCTCCGCGCCTATGTTATATCGTAATATCGGAATAGATTACAGGGTATTCTTCGGAAGAAAGGGGACCCGGGTTGTTGGCGCTGAATTTATCGGATGCCACATTTTAATGACAGAATCTCGCGAAATTGCAATTTACGTTGTCGGAATACTATATATCGCCGGATACGACCCTTGTAAATTTCGAAAGATGACGCTTTTTTCTCGCTAAAACGTTCCGCACGGGCTCGTCGAACGTATAATAAATGATCGTCGGTCGTAAAAGTTTTATCGGCGCGTCGAGAAAGTACGATTTAAGTGACGCGCTTATTATTACTATTATTATTATATTATTTCCCTTATCAGAGAGAACCACCGCGCGATATTACGAGACGATGGAACGCACCGTAAAGAGCGTTAAATTGTCCTCCCACTTCGCGACGATTCTCACCAACGTGTTTTTCCTGCACAGTTGATCCCAACAACGTCCCGGGTTATTAATGTACACGGGAAATAAGAGGATTAAAGAGAGGAGATACTTACCGACGACGTTCATCGCCGCGTAAACTATAGCCGTGTGGAAAGAAGGTGCATCAGCTGATACTTCGCAGCTGTAGACGCCCGCCGCCTCCAATTCCAACTTTGTCAGCACGACTTGCGTCGCGTTGCTCTCCGTTTTCTGTGGAACAACGGTAATTCGTTACTACGTCCGACGGTTCTTCCGGCACGAGGAGTTCTCCTCGTCCTTCATCTTATCGAGGACACAGAAGATCGCGGGAATTCTCCCGCGGCGAAAACTTATTCGCGCGGCACTTTATTATACATATCACGAGAGAGAGAGAGAGAGAGAAAGAGATATATAAAATAAAAATCGGTCCAATCCATTAATGACTGATATTTTTGTCGATTGCGCGATCTGCGACCAATCCGGTTATTCGATACGTCAGCCCTCTCTCGTTTATTCCCAAACGGGATCCCTCGTCTCGCATCTCCGACCCCGGCTTTTATCCCGTTACGTTAAATATTCGCGATGCACTCGTGCTTGTTTATATTTTTTTTGCTCTTTTTTTAACATCCAATTGCCAATCCGAGTGCCAATTGCGCGCGAATCGTTATCGATGTTAAAAGTAATAAATATCGTAGCAAGGTGTCCGGGCTTTTCGAATTGCGTTTCGAGCAAACACACGCCCGCGGTTCTCCGGGTATTTCCGGGGATAATCGCGTAAAAATAAACGTAAGCAACTACTACCGGAAGAGAGTTGACGTGAAAAATCGCGTGTGCGAGGGCAAAACGTTCGCCAATCGTGGCAGAGTCGTGTCTCACTGTAGGCATTCGTTAAACAAACGTTATTAGCTCGTAATCCGAGCTGTCACGTGTCTGAAACGCGAAATTCTACATTGGGCTTTGCTCCGACCGCATATCTCGTACGCGAAGCGCGCAAAATTATATTTGACGGTGTTTTAAGCAACTAGGTTGAAACGTGTAAATGAGACATTCCCGGATTTCTCTTGGAATATATAGAAAGTAGAGTGTACTTTGTTTAGAATTCAATTTTCTTTGCAGACATATTTCTTTATTAAACAATAATGAAGAATATTGATGTTTTTCTCGCAAATAGTAAGAATAATTAATGCAGTAAGATATTCTTAAAAATAGGTTGACAGATTAAGAAGATACATATAAAGAGAAATAAAACTCTCTCTCTCTCTTTTAAATAAAATATATGATTCTATAAATCGAGCATAAAATTGCAATAAAAGATACAATAACTCTGGTACGTTGAAAAAAAAAAGTGAAAAAGAAAAACAAAAACGCGTGAAATTTAATGGAGAGAAGCGCGACACCAGAACGAGCAGCACACATCGACGAGGGCCATCAGTTACCCCTCTCGCAGGGAGACAGCTCGAATTCAAAAACTTCGATCGAGCGATATGTAGAACGCGCGCCTCGCTATACATCGGGCAGGAACTGTACGTTCCGGCGCGTTCGGTGTTATCGTGTTCCATTCGCAACTTCTCGACCGCAATAAATCCTCGCTTTTGCCCTCTCCCTCCCTTCTCGACACCGCTCCTTTTTTTTCTCCGCCCGATCCCGCTGGGACGCGAAAGGATCTCTAGATTTCGCGATGGCCCGCGGGACATAGAGCGAAAGGTTGTAAGCTCGTTCGTCAGAACGGAAGAAAGAAAGAGAGGAAGGAAGTAAGGAAGGAAGGAAGGAAGGAAGAAGCTCACCTTCACCGTCAGATTTCCGATGGGGAAAGTCTTGACTGGCGGATTCTCGTTCGGGGCATAGCGATAAAACTCGCGGCCCCCTTGTACCACTTGACGGCGTACAACGGGTCGCCCTCGGTGTCGTACCAGCAACTCAGCGTCGCCGAGTCGCCCTTCTTCACGGCCGTCGGTATCTGGATGCGTACTTCCCGCAGACCCGAGCAAATTCCTGCGAAGAGGGCAGAAGAAAAGAGTTAGTTAATTATACTTGATTGGTTGCTTCGTAAGAACGAGGAGAACAGGAAGGACCATATTATATGTAGTACATGGGGGCATTTTATTTTATTTTCATTTTTTATACATTAAATATGCAAATAAATTTTGTATTACACGTGCAGGCAAAGTGGCACTTTGTGTGCGTGTTTTCTGTGCGGAAAGCGGCCGATTTCCCACGCCGCCATCTAGCGGCGACGCGGTGAGTGAATAAACCGTGTTCAAAGTCATTGCCCACGGCTTCAGCCGTGGCGTGCACCTCGCGCACAGAAAACGCGCACAAAGCCACTTTGCCTGCACTTGTAATACAAAATAGTATGTGTATCACATGCGGATTGACAATTGTTCACTCGTGACCAATTGTCAACTTTCCGCACTTGATACACAATATACTATTTTACTGATACAAGGGGGACAAATGCCCTCTCTTGGTCGTATTATACGTCGTTGAAAACGACACTACGAGGCAGTTTGCGTCGATTCTATGCCTTATCGCAACGGGCGATCTCGGCGCGGTTATTAGGGCACATTCGGAGAGGGATGAATTCAGGGGATACTCGCGTATAAATCCGAATCTCGACTCATGCCCCCGGGGAAAAAGAGGAAATGAAAGCCGAAGGTGAGTTTCTGCCGTATCATGTCATGAGAGGCAGCCCTGAACATCGCTTCGCGATGCATACCTCATCGATTACGTTTGCGGACAGTGTCTCCCAAATTGGAAAAGTGACGGGTCCTTTTATGTCTTGCCGAAGGACTAGTTGAATAAAAGTACGTACGTCCCTCTCTCTCTTTGTCTCTCCATCTCACATAATATTCTATCGATTTTATCAAATTCAAGGGATAGTCTACTTTGACGTGGTGTTTTCGCGCATGGACCACTTTTCTCCGTGTTTCAACGTCGCTAAAAATATCATCTCGCTATCTTTAGATTAATAGTGCGACGATATACGCGAAAATAATAATCTGTCTTTCTTCCTTGAATAAATCGCGTACAACCGTAAATGAAAATAATCGTATCTTCTCGTTCTATCGTGCCTTCGCGCGTTACGCTCGACGACGAAACGCAAGGCCGATAAAAAGGATACATTACGTTAATTAAAAGATTATATTTCCAGGACCGTTCCGCGCGAACGTCGTAAGGAAGCCTCATCTTTTAATTAGATCAAATGATCTTGCACCGTTCCTAGAGAAAGAGCTTTGGGAACCACTGGGCTTCGTCGTTGCAAGCGGCGACTGGTTATCAGACCGACATCGTCATTACATAGGAAGTCCCCGTAATGAAAGCAGCCGCGAATATAATACGACCCCGTGAGAAATAGTTTCTTATAATAATGACGATGCGCAAAACGCGCTTTACCTCTCTCTCTCTCTCTCTCTCCCGCTTTCTCATCCGCGAATTCGAAATTATTCGGCGTATCTCCAACGCCGACCGTCGGAATCCTCTATCGATCGCGAATACAATCCTTTCGCGTTGCCCCCGGTTCCCACATCCTCTCTTGGTGTGCCGACCAAATTTTCTCATTCACGAGAAATAGAATCGATCTCACACGCGAGAAATAGAACTTACGCGTTTCCGTATGAATTTCGGGAAATTTTCGCGTGCCGATATATTCGAGAGACGCGATTGTTCGACTCCCTTTCAGAGAACCAACCCCCTTCCACGCTACAGCTATTTATGTCGCGAGTTTTGCACTTAACGTTTATCTAATAAATCTATAAAGAACAATGCTGAAAAGGGTCGAAATTTGCCTGGAAGGGGAATATACGAAATCGGTATATTTTTATGTTTTTGGAGCGGCTGAATTCGAAAATGAAACTTCAAATTGTCCGTATAGTACCGGAGATAATGATGAAAATGCAATTTTCCTACGAAAAACCGCGTTTTGAAGCAAATGTTTTTTAATGAACAAGTGACAATTGTAAACGAAAAAGATCTTATGTTATTAATGTTTCGAGAAAAAAGAGAATGGGGGAAATGTTGTGATTACTCATTTGAATTTAATTAAAAAAACTAATTGATATAGACTGTGACGTCTGTGACCGTGAATGACGTCTGTGACCGTAAGACGTAAGTCACAGTTCACAGACGTCAGTATCAGTTTTTTAAATTAAATTAAAATGAGAAATCACAACATATATAGCGGTTTTTCTGTAGAAAAAATACATTTTCGCAATTATCCCCGACGTTTGGACAATTTTAAACTTTATTTTCAAGTTTTGATAGATATATAAGATCCAAAAATATATAAGATAAAACGAAACAGAAAGATATAACAATTTTACATTTCCCTTACAGACAAATGTTGACCTTTTTTCAGCATTGTTCTCTCCACACATTCTCCCTGTGCTTCGTTGCATGAGAATTCTATTGTTGGACGATTGTTTATTAATTGCGGATGTTCCATATTGTGTCTTGAAAGAGAGTAATTATAACTTTGAATTATATGTATATACAAATATATATGTATATAAAATAAAATTTTTCTCATTTATCACGCTCCTCTATAGTGGAAACAACATAGTTAAACTTAAATTGGAAATTCTGTTTATGTAAAGGAAATCTGGGATATTAAAAAGTTCCCGTGTAAATGATTCATGTGCAGTACACGTAACAAATAACGATTTCAACGCGACATTCTCAACGCGAACTTTTCCGCGCGCCGAAGAAGAGAAGCTCTTAGCATTTCTTTTCACGGGATCGATATAATCCGACTCGCAGTTCCGCGGATTGGATGAAAGTTTCGGGGAAGTTGTAGGGAAATATTGCCCCAGCGCATTAAAGGGTGTGACGATCCCGGCGTAATGCCCCCCTTTCTCCCCCCTCTATCCCCCGTTTAGAGGCACTTTACGAAGAGCTTACGGGTATTTAGTTACAAAACCACGAATCTCTCTCTCTCTCTCTTGAGCGCAGTCGGTCGTTAGTCGATGATATAAAAAGCAGATTTGTGCGACAAGACTGACGAGTGGAAGAAAGAGAGGGAGAGCTACACCGAGGTAAGTGTCCGCCCTTACACTCGAGGACTTACTTATCGTCCCATGTCGAGACTGAAAGTGACGAACGTGCCGTCGTACGAAAGAAACAGATAAGCACGCACGAGGAGGAACGTAAACCACCCTCTGGGCCGACGATTAAGGCTGGAACGTCTAACGAGCCGAGCTGGCTATCGAGGCACCCGAGAAAGAGAAAGAATTTTTCGTCGCCGAACACGTTATGTTCTATCCTATCCCGCAAAAAAAAAAAAAAAAAAAAAAAAAAACTGACAGAAGAGGACGTCCGCGGGATTTTTTTTCCAGGAGAGACCATGATTAAAATTTTGTTATTTCTTATTCTTTCTTAATTTTGAAACATTTATTTGTTCATATCAAATATGCAAATAAATTCCAGTATTTATTCAAAAGGAGAGCAAATGCTTGATTTTGTTGATTGATTACAAATGCACTCTTTTGCCCTCTGACAAAAGGAAAAGCTATGATGTGTCGCGCAATGATTTTCGCAGTCCGAGTGAAGTGGCGAAGTGAATAGCATCGGAGCCTCTCTTTCTGCTCGAGAGGCACAGAGACTCATCTCGATTCGGAATATCCCGATGCCGATACGGACTCGGCTTAATTCGCTTACACTAGTCCCTAATGGCGATACGCTCGGTTTAACGGACTGCTCTCGCGCAATGAATGCGATTTCACTCGATCGGACAATCGCGCGAGCGGATCCGCAAAACGGATATGATGTTCGGTAGAGCGATCGGCTTAATTAGCCGCCGAGCGAAACGGCGCGTTTTCCGAAGAGAGAGAGAGAGAGAGAGAGAGAGAGAAAGAGGCCCGTATCACTTGGACGTTTCGCACTCCCGTGAGCCCCAATAGGGAGCTTATCTTTTGTCAGAGAGAGAGAGAGCCGGCAAGGCTCGCACGATCGAACAAAATCATCGACTAGCGCACATACACGTTGATGCTTCCTCGTAAGAGCACTCTGAGATATCGCGAGTAGCAGCGTTATCTGAATTATACCATTGTTCCTTTTTTTTACAACCGATAAATCGCGATAACGTAATAGCGGAACAATTGCGAGCACTCCCCCTGGGTGCTACATTATGAATGGGGCGCGTATATAGATAGCAGCCAAGTTCTGTCACTTTTCCAAGAGAAAGAGTGGAAACGAATTTTTAATAATTCGCGCTTTTCCCGTACAATGGATTTCTGCGAGTATAAAAGTATCGCGTTAATGCTCGACGTGAAAGAGATACGGTACTTGGTTTAATATCGGATTTTTGCATTCGTTCAATGATCAACTTGTACGGTGCTTCTCGTTTTCGAAACGAAATGTTTGTTCGCGACAGATGCGTTAGTCTTTATGACATTGGTGACGCGAAATGTGCTTTACGCTTCATTTATCAATCGATTTTATTTATTAGAAACTGTCGCAATTTTCAATGAATATATTTATTGATATGTTATGAAAGAAAAGTATCTCTTATTTGCACCATTTATTTTTGTTGTGACGAATAAACATTGAAATTATTTTTGCATATGTACCTTTAGTACCGAACACTTAATTTGTTGTCAATTTCAGTTTGTCATTCGTTATTTCGTTATTGATGCATATATTTTTCATAAGTGCTCTTGACAATACCAGCTAATAATGATTTCCGACAATTTTGGTGTTTTAGTCATTTCTCTGGAACAAATTGATACAGATGACTTTTTTTACTATCAATTTATTGCAATTTATGTATCACAAATACTATAAGAATAAGAAGAGAGCTAATATCGACAAGAGCTACTTTCGAAGTACACATATGCATTTTTAAAAGAGAAGCAAACGCCCAAAGCGACGAGCATATGCAGCTTCCATTTGCAAGCTTAGAAGAGTCGCGAATAAAGATCGGATTACTCCGCAAAGTTTCAAGACGATCGAATATTCGATCGTTCCGCTGACGTTGGGGAAGAAAGACAGAGAAAGAAAGCAGAAGCGGCAGATCGTCGGAAGCTCTCTTCCACTCTTCCGCGTGTCGTAAAATCGCATTCGCCGGAATTTCGCCATTAATGCGATTATCCCGTCGAGATGGGAATTCGTTAAATTCGTTAATGCCCCATTACGGGGAACGCCCGCACGTTTTACGGCGAACGGCCAACGACCCTGTCATTTCTGGAGTCCCGTCGCCGATCTCTAATTCAACGCCTCGAGAAGAGGATCTCTCTCATATCCGGTGCGTTTGTGTCTCTCCGCTAATCATTTTTGTTCTCCGCCGCGAGAGAAGCAACGCCCATCGAGGTTCATATAGAAACTCCGAGAAATCCGTTTCGCCTGCCTCCGTGAAATCCCGACAATCCGACAAACATCCCTCGACATTCATCCCTGACATCGTTCGCATCGCGTTACCTAAATATGTAGGTATATATACGCGTACTTACGGCGTTTCGCGATCCTCGCCGCGTATATGTGCATGCATGATGTATGCGTGCACTTTATGCTAATATCCGTAATGAGGGAACTTTCTCGGAGATATCGTAAAAAAAGTGTCTCTCTCCCTCTCTCTCTGACCTGGAGCGCTCGCGTTTTACGACGGGGCGAAATTATCATGATAGAAATGTATATAGTCGTTCTCTCGTGGCTGGAATTTCTTATAGTTTGGCACATGATACGCTTGGCGTACACCACAACGTTTTTGTACAATAATATAACAAGATAATTTAATTATCTTACTATTTACGACGCAATTTGATTTAATCCCAATTTAAGTTGATGAATAATTGATCGCGCAAGCTTAAAGTGATAATAAAATTGGATTGAGGAAACTCGAATACAGGATGCACAAGTGAAACGTATACTCTCGGTATCGTATTATATCCACAACTTTACAGAGAGATGCAGGCAACTTCTTAACGTGGGAATGAAATATTTGTACACGACTCTAATTTCTTTATCTTTGTGTTTCGCAGCTACTCGAAATTCAAGGAGTCATTGACGCGAAGATGATTCATCTCGATAGGAACGGAGAAGGGTTCGCGTACGTATGCGATCCATTCCCATCGATAACCATCGGGTGCAGGCAATCCGCAATTCGGTCGACAGGACGAGGGTCGCGAGGACACGGATCTATATACCGGATATATACAGCCTGTCGGGGCGATGAACGTATATAAAGCAGGCAGTGCACTCGGGAGACACGCGATTTTTACAGGACACGAAAGAAACGTTCCGGAGCTGTCGTCGACAGAAGCGCGATATATATATCGATAAGTGAAAGGTGAAAGAGAGAAAATCCCACGTTACGTCGCGAGAAACACGCAGTGCATCATGCATAACGCAGGGGGATGAAAAGCAGGGGATGAAGGCGCGTCGCATCGCAAGGAGGCCGAGGGACCAGACTTACCCACGATGTGAACCCACAGCAGGATTTTCAATTCCATGGATGCTCTTGTCGCTCGTCGACGCGTCTGACTAGGGCTGATCCTCGCTCGTCTATCGTCGTCGTCGCATCGAAAGCGTCTCTTCGCATGTCGTCCGGAGAGGCACCTCTCTCTCTCTCTCTCTCTCTCTCGCCTATATCCGTGCGGCTGTATTCAGTAAAGACAACAGCAGCAGTGAGCGACGACGCGTAACGCGGAGCGAAAGATCAACGACGGAGGCAACATTTCTCTCTTACATAATATGCACGCCGGAGCGACTCGGGTCGCCGACTCTGTGCGACTTTACGCGGCGATCTGCGCGAAGAAAATCTACCTCGGATATGCGCGATCCGCCGAGCCCGGCTTCTCTCTGATGGTTGCACGGCTGGCTCCGCCGAAACTCCCCCTCTCGGTTGCGTTTCGCGCAGAATCAATTTCCTCGCGAAACGACGACGGCGCGGAGCCGGCGACGCGAGTGCGCGAACACGGTCGCGCGGGAGCGCGCTTGCGCCCCCGCACGTAGGGTGCCTTGGTGTGTCGGATGTTGTACGTGCATATATATGACGGAGACACGTACACGAGGCAACACGCATCCCCCGATGGCGCCGCGGGGGTGAATGTGCGTACGAGTAAAATCTGGTCCACCGATAGATTCCGAACAACCCCGAGAGCTGGGACCCCTCTTCGATAGGCCAGTTCTCCCTCCTTCTTGAGGGTGTGTGTGTGTGGATGTGAATGTGTGTATGCATTTGCGGGATAAACGCGCTCTTGCTTACGTGGCGGGCGGTCTTGTAGCGCGCGATGTATTTCCTTCGTCCTTTTTCGAGAGATGCCGCTATCGATATTCTATCAGACCAACCTATCCGTTTGTCTATTTGCAGGTCTGGCTGTTCCGTATCGCTGTATTTTATCCGAGTGTCTATTCGAGCGAAGAGACCGCTTTATTCCTTGTTTAGAGTATTTGTACATTCTTGACAAAGGTCGAGCTTGATAAATAATTGCGATTAATTTTTCGAAGATGGGTAATTGTTCTTCGACTGCTTCTTATATACTTCGATTGTATAAGTTACCTGCTTATTTTTCCAAATATTTGTACTCTTGCGTATATACAGGGTGTTCCAGAACTGGCGGAAAAGTTTTTAATGGCAGATTCCTGGTATTATTTGGAGACGATTTTTTCGTAGTGAAAATGTTGAGGGAGATCATCATTTTTAGCGTGTTCCCAATTTTTGTTATTATGTATCTTTATAACTAAGCCGTATATTAAAATTCTTTCAAAGCAAATTCTATATCTAAGACTGAAGAATGCAGTTCTGTTAATATTTTATTTCCACAAGGCTTAGTTTCCAACGTTTCTGAATGATACCAGGAATCTGTCATTAAAAACTGTTCCGCCAGTTCTGGGACACCCTGTACATATATTTATGTATTTATGTCTTTACGTCTATATCAGAGAGTATGTAGAACTGAACTTTACTTTAATAAAGAAGAGAAAAAGATTTATAGCCAAAAGTTTAAATAAAAGGAACGATCAATCCGGGGATATTTGTTCATCTGTTTGCCTAGAAAAATATTGTCCTGTCCTGGCTATTTCCGGTAGAGCAGTTAAAACGTAACACAATGAACGCGACTTGTCGGCAGCGTAGATATTGTTCAGCTTTTATCCTGCAGAAAAATGTACGAACATAACTTACATGAAGAGTATCATACACGGGGAGGAGTACCATCCTCGATTATTTATCGTTGTCGCCCACCTCGACGTAATACAAGAAAGTGGAATGGACAGAGAGGGTCGTACCGTAGTAGTACAACACGATTGCGTGGTTTACGTAAATAACATTGGCGTGTGTTTGCGCGCCGATTGCATGACGTCATCAAATAAAAAAAACAGGTAAATCACAGAACTATAGGCACAGACTCCCGCAATCCCCCGGAGTAACTTTCCGAAAGGATTGTTTTATTCTCAATCGGTGCAGCCTGCGTAATCTCTTTTCTTCCGAACGATGTCAATTTTAATTAAAAAAAGAAGAAAAAAACGAATTCGCGCAGCTTTCGATCTCGCACGTCCAATTAAAAAACTAAGGCGAAATAATAATCTTCCGAAACTCGAGAAATCACCTCGACTCCGACTGTGCGGTGCATATTTTTATATCAACTTTGTCACCCCTCAGCGTCGTATCCGCGTTTCTCCGCGAAATCAAGCCGCGACGTAAATCCACGTCGCACGTCCCAATTTAGACTCCGACTCCTCGTCAGGAATATAAATAACTTTAATCATTATTGCATCTACGCGTAGCTGCATGTCCATTAAATGGCATCGACAAACCAATATTTGTGTCGTTACGTCGGACGACACATTTACACGGGGAAATTTAAATTCACGCCGGACACTTCTCGTATACATACATGCGCACCGCGTTTCCGGATAAACTAATTACACTCACCCATCGTCCCCCCGATTGAATTACCCGCGATGCGCCAAGCCGGTGAATTTCCGCGCGATAAATGTTCCTGTCGTAAGTAAATGCGCGCCAGCACGCATCGCGAGTGTAAGACAGAGAGAGATGAGTCGCGCCTTTGGCGGTGTGCGCGGGTAAATGATCCTTCTGTAGGTCCTGTTTACGCTGCAATAAACCTGAAAGGTCTCTGGTGAGACGCGGGAAGATCGATGGTACGTTTTCACCTCGAGGCAGCAGGTCGTTCGCGCTGCAATGCATCTGATTGTACGGCGGACTGGAGCCGTGAAAGAAATCTCTTTCCGTCGCGAAAATGAGAAGAGATGTAAGAGCGGTTAATCGCGAGAGGAAATAGTATATTGTGTATCAAGTGCGGAAAGTTGACAATTGGTCACGAGTGCGGGGAATGGACCACCCCACACGAGTGAACAATTGTCAATCCGCACACATACTATTTTGTATTACAAGTGCAGGCAAAGTGGCTTTGTGCGCGTTTTCTGTGCGCGAGGTGCACGCCGCCATCTTGCGGCGGCACGGTGCGGGAATAGCCGTGTTCAAAGTATTGTCCACGGCTAAAGCCGTGGGCAATGACTTTGAACGCGGCTCAGCCGTAGGCAATGGCTTTGAATGCGGCTTATTCACTCACTGCGCTAGATAGCGGCGTGGGAAATCGGCCGCTTTCCGCACAGAAAACACGCACACAAAATGCCACTTTGCCTGCACGTGTAATACAAAATATACTTGTTAGAAAAAAGATCGCGACTCATTTTTTCGTATTTCAGGTTTGTAGTAACGTCAATATCTTCGCACTTGTCAATCCGGTCGCGTCTGGTTACACCGTAAAATTACGTCACAACAGGCGGATGATGATGATCGCGGGAAGGGGATGCAACGCGATCTCATTTCGGATTCATAGGAACGTGATCGCGCGAATGAATAGCAGGCTAATTAATAATCCATCGGCCTCGCGTTCGGCATTTGTTTAACATCTTAATTACGATTCATTCGTAAATTCGCCGCGAATTATCTGGCAAACTGCGTACTCTATTTCGCGGCGAATCGTGAATTTATCATAAAATTACAACACAATATCTTTCATAAGAGAAACAAAAGTGTGTTTGTACTTGCGCGAGTTAGAAAAATATTGAAAATTGCAATATGAATTTTCCCTGTAATCTGAAAGTCTCAATAGAAACTACAACGCGGATACTCGAGGGATGTATTCAATCTTGCCGGAAATAATCCCGATTGAGGAGGGGGCGAGAAGAATCGCAGATCGAATATGAGTTAACGAACTCCTACCTCGTATATAAATATAGATAGAAGACGTTCGTTTTTATATATCCTCGAATTTTCCATCCGGCTGAATGAGGGGCGCTTTAGCGTCGAAACGATCGCTATCGATTATATAAATAGCGCTCATCCGGGATAGATGCATTAATATGCAACGAGCGACGAGTTATATCGTTCGAAGACGGGGCGTCGCCGATATAAACGAGAGTTTCGCCGACGCCGACATTTTCAAGACACGGAGCTCGCTCTCCGCAAAAGAGTATCGCTCCTTTTCTCTCCCTCCTTCCGCCAGCATCGTCGCCCTCGTGGAACCCTCGCTCTCTCACCCTCGCATCGAGGGACGGAAAGCGACGGGGATGACGTAGCGACTCCGTGTTAACGCAGCATTGACCGAGCCGAGGCGAGGCGTCGTTACCTCTTTCGAATCATCGAGCGGGATATACCCTCTAAATAACGTAGAAGCTCATCGCGTCGGGAGGATGTGTATGTATGTATATAAACCGTCCCTATACCTATCCAATCTTGCGCCAAGCCGGTAATAGAGACAAGGAATAAGGCGAAATAATTCGCGACTTCATTAAATCTCGCGCGTACTCTCTCGGAGAACATTAGGGAATATTGGAGCGGAAAAGCGCTGATCGTGCTGAAAAACCGTCACTGATATATTCCAGCGTGTAGAACTTTCTGTGTGTTAATTCTCTCCAAAATGATATAAATTTAATGAATTTTACGGCTTTACATCCGATTGGAAAAGTTGCGTTTACCTATATACATGTTTTGTATTCATATCATAGATATACATGTATAGAGTTATAGAGAATATATATATATATATATATATATATATATATATATACATTATATATAGATATACATTTGTCAATGCGCATTTAAACTTTAGAATGAAAAATTGCTGGTCTCGTATTACAAGAATAAGAATAAGTTCTTATCATATTCGATTACGTATAATCTTGTTATATAAAAAATATATAGCTGAATATAACTCACAAGTTATGTAACCGAGATCCAACTTGTATATACAAAAGGAAAATTATGGACACATATATAGTATATATAGATATCGTCTATTGTTATTTTAGCTGGGTGATACCACTCGCGAGCAAATATCTGTTTTGGGTGCAATAATATCTCCGTGTTGTAAATCCTAGTCCGCGCGTACAATGATCACCGAGAAATTCATTGTTAATATGTATATGCACCCCGAGCCCGATCTGATTAAAAGTCTACGACGGTCGTAATTCACGGCTATACGTGTGGGTAGAGTGTATAACGTCGCCGTCGAGTCCAGAATGCCCTTTAAATTATGGAGCTCGGGAAATGTTGTACGTTACGATTGCGTGCCCGGTTGCAACAAGCGGTCGTTCCCTACAGGGTTGTTTGCTCGAACCCTTGCCTTATACTCGCGCGCGCAACCCAACTCCTATCCGTAGATAGGTAGGTATAACGCCGCCCGGGAATGATACCCAGCAGGCTAATTTCAGGATAAGCCGCTGTAATACCGCGTACAATCGTCACGCGGTCGGCGACACGAAGAGGAAGAGGGTGAATCCGGCCAGCGTCTCGTCGATATACGACGTGTGGATCGATGTTGCCTCCTTCATTAGAGCACCATTTGGCCCACGATTATCCATCAGGAATATTAATGGCGAAATTACATAAATTTCTCACGTAATTACCGAAATAATACGTGGTATAACCGTGGGCAGGAGAGAACATTTGTCATCCCTTGGAACAAGTACAAAAATTAAGAAAACAAATTGTTTTAAAAAGATCAAAAGTGACGAGCAATTATATGGCGGACAATAATATTGAAAGACATGTGAACACCTGTGAAAGAAGGGTATTTATATCTGTTCATTAATCAAATGTTGGGCCATCACTTGTCCCCTTTTTAGTGCGATGCTGTCTTATTCTTTTTCAATCCGTTAATTACCCTAGAGATGTTGAAGAAGGAAATCCGCTTCTCACTCTTCCTCAAAACTGCCCACAGTCCGATAATATTAAGCCATTAAGATGCCCAAACATTCTCTCTGGCCAGCACAATTACCAAATTGGAATATCATCGAGCCACTAGTAAAAAGTTTTTTGATGGTGGTTCGATGATATTTGGGTTTGGTAATTGTGCTGGCCAGAGAGAATGTTTGGGCATCTTAATAGCTTAATATCATCGGACTGTAGACAATTTTGAAAAAGATAGAGAATTGACAAATAGAGGAATGAGACAACATTTCACTGAAAAAAAAGGCAAATGGTGGCCCAACATCTTATTAACAAACAAATATAAATACCCTATTTTCACAGGTGTTCACATTATTTTGTCTACCCCCTGTATATTATATCAATCTCTTTAATCCAAATACGATATAGAAAAATTAAGAATTTACTCTCCTTTTGAATAAACACTGGAATTAATTTGTATCTTTAAATAAAATTTAAAAATTGAGAAAGAACAAGGAATACAAAAAAATGAATTATGCTCCCTCCTGGAAAAAATCCTACGACCGTCCACGGATATAATGATGGGGATGCACGCAAAATACAGACAATCATCGTGATCTGTCAAATTTTCATCGCATCTTCGTGCTCGTCCGACTTATTCGCTCGTGTATACTTTCACTTGGTATTGATGCGGAAATAATCTCACGATTATGCTCGATGAAAAATGCGACCAATCCAAGGTTGCACGTGGCGTAAAACATAAAATCGATACTTGCTAGGCACGAACGAGGCGAGTTAGCGAGACGACGAGAGAGAGAGGCGGAAAGAAAATAAGTATGTGGGGTGCGATATCCGCCGCTATCGCTGCTCCTATTATATAGATTATATAGATAGATTCTGCGACGATTTTCAAGGGACGATATATATATATATATAGCAAAAGTATCATTAAAATAATTCAACGTATGGACTTTTAATGATGTTTCAACAAATTACACAGAATATAAAATGACGGTCTCTTTTCCTTTTTACTTAATATCGAGATAACAATTTTGCAATGAAATATTTGTGAAAGAGAAATCGACCCATCTCCTTAATCTGTCGTCATTAATGGGAGCAGCGACAGTGACGAAGAATTACAGTGTGTAAGAATGGAGAACAAAGATAGTGCCATTTTTCGAGCGGTTTGCGTTACTTTTATCGTCTCGTCCCGATTTTTCCATCGGATAGCGCGATAATGACTCGCACTAAATCAAACAGCTACAAACCAACTTCATCGCTTACGGTTGTGCACGAAAGTCCACAAGGACGAGCAAATCGTTTCTTATCATTCTACAGCTAATCGTACCTTATCGTTGTACAAATAAGCTATTCCCCATATACAAGCCACGACCGTAATCAAATTGATGCTTTCCGACCGGATGATTACCTCTTTTTTTTATTAAAAGCAAACAGACTCGTCGACCGTGAAACACGCGACGAGCAACTCGGAAAATAGTCAATTCGGGATACCAACTTAAAGCAGGTTTGTTTAATTAATCGTCTGCCGGAGAAAGATGAGATGCGAAAGAGAGAAAAACCTATATGTCAAGTGCAGCACTTGGACTGGCAATTTTTATATCCCGAGGGATTTACCTTCGCGCGAAAATGTACGAAGGGGTTACCGTAAGCCGTTAGATCTTGATAAACGCCAGACGATTGTCGAGAGGTACGTATGAGGCTGAAGATAAGAACGACAGAAAAGGGAGAAATGCCGCGTCTCTCTATCGTTTCGCAAATAGCGGATGCCTTTTTCACCGAGAATTATTTGTCAAACAGAGAGAAGAGGCAGGCTAGTCGACGTCTTGATAATTTTTTTCTCATGCAAATAGGCCATAAATCGCCATGCCATAAATCGTTATCTCTCTCTCTCTCCGACCGCACATTTCCTCATCGGGCGACGCGTGAATTCCCCGGTCTTAAATGTCTTACGCAAAGTAGAGAGAACACAGACTCCCGATTTAATTCGTCGCGTATTAATCGAGAAGACGTCACGATAATTACCGGAGTCGAGGAAAGAGAATCTCTCAACTAAAGGTGCCTTTTCATATGCAGCAGCAAATCAGTCACGTGATTACAATTTACTCTTTGTTCTTTATTCTTAAAATCCATTATTTAACTAATATAATAATAATAATAATTAGAATCAACTAGTTGCGCGTTCTTCTGCTTTGCTATTCGTTCAATCGAACTTCACCAATAGCAACAGCATGCTGCACATGAAATGGTACCTAAAAGAGTCATCCTCCTCCTCCGGCGTCCCACGATAATACGCGATATGACTGATAAGCGTCGCCGCTTGCGAGATGCCAAACAAGCTCTTTCGCGCATACGCCGAAATCTCGGAGCCGGAGCGGATCGCATCGAGCGACGCCGGGCAAGGTCAGGGTCGAATAAACGCGCGGTGTGCGGCGTGTGTCTTCGAGACACCCCAGAGGCGACAGCGACGTGACTCGTCGGTTTAAGGTCGGCGTCAGTCAGGTCTCCTCGCGCGCGACGCCCGGCATCGCGACGCCTCGCGATAAAAGGAAACGTTGTCCGGCGCGCGCGTCATCGCCACGAGCGAGGGTGGCGAACCGGGCAAAACAACCCCGCGAGCGCGACGAAAACGAGGACTGCGACGTTGAAAAGCCGTTATTGAAACGGCGACATGAGACGGGGGTTGTAAATCCCGACTGCAAACAATTAAACCGCGCGTAAATAAACGCGTCTCGGGGTATTTCTGGAAAAACTCCGGCGAGAGAGAAGAGCGCATCGGCGTGGCGAACGCGTATACCTTTCTCGACGCCGTCGAGGAGCGACTATATCGGGGCGTCGCGACGCTTGCGCGGATTTCATCGACGATCAGCTGGTTGGGAGCGCGCGTCTATCGGGTGGGAGAGCGACCGACGAGGGACTTGGCTCGTAGGTGAAGGAAGACAAAGAGAGGGTGGACGGTCTAGGTAGAACGAAGATAGACAGTGCGAAAACGTCCTACATCCAACGCGTTACACGCGCGTTCTTCCCCGTTGCTCTCGACGTTTATCGGCGTCGTCGCCCGTCGACGTCGTCCACGACGTCAGTACGCCGTCGTGTTGTGCCGTGCTGTGCAGTGCTGCTGCTGGGGCGCGTCGTCGATGCACAGGTCGATAGAGCGCACGCCGGCGAGAAGGTGCGACTCGACGACACGTCCGGTTCGATGAGTTCGCTCGGTTTATCATAATGCGGCACGTCCGCGTTATCGTCGCCACGCTTCTTCCTGTCCCTCCACCACGTCGTCGCCGACGTCTTCGAGCCGCCGCGGCCGCGCTCGCCGCCGGCCGACTCCGTCGAGACTCGAGAACGTCGTCGCGGTTATTCGCGAGCGGCGCTCAACGCGAGCAGCGTCGCGCTTGAGACGAGTTCATCAGCTCCCGTCCCCGGTCGTCTCCTTCACGTCGTTTGACAGGTCGTGTCCCACGAGTTGTCCATGCATATATACGCGACCGCTCACACATGTCGAACCAGTCGAGAACAGTCCAAGACGGAGCCAACCCGAGCCAAGCTGGCGGTTGTTTTTGGCTCCCGTTGTGATCTGTGATCGCTGGTGAATCTTGATTCAATCTCGGAGCAGCTGAGAGCGTTTCCAACGATAGTTTGTTACACTCCGACGACGTCGTTCCTCTGGATGCTGCTGCGTACGAGGAACATGGACCAGCAGCTGTCATCGTGGCGCGCGACGTTTCTTGGCGCCGAAGCAGTGTGAGTCACGCTTAATTATTGAGTTTGACGTTTCAATGATTTACGGCCGCGATTTGTTATTGTCGTTTGTTTCCCTCGCAATTTCTACTTGATCCCCGGAACGATTATACAACAAAATAGCTTTCTTTTATTTATTTATCTCCCAAAACGGTCGTATATAAACTTATACTTGCCGCAGACTGCGAAGACAACATTGGCTCTTTGACGAGGGACAAGTGCGGGAATAAAATAAAATTATTCATCGGAAAAGAATTTGCTGACGCGCAACAAGGGTTTGTAAAGGCGGAGAGAAAGAAGAACGGAAAAGGTTCCTCTACCTGAAAAACGAGTCGGCGTGCCGCACAACAGCGTGACTCGGGAACGACCCAGGAAACGACCACGCTGCGTTGGGTAGCGCGACAGTCTGTGCATGTGTATACGTACAAGTGTGCCGTGCATACGTGTGATCGGAGGGTAGCGAGTTCGTGAAAAGTAAACCCGCCCCTGATCATTCCGAATAGCCGTGCGCTACGGAGAGAGATTAGGGGAAGTTCGTATATAAAAGCGCGAGCGTGTGCTTCGTCGTCGTGGCGGTTCCCTTCTGATGGTACAGCGAGTGGCAGCAGTGACTCACCGGCGACGAACGAGCGCGGACGACGACGCGGACAGCCGTCGTCCCCAGCAACAGAAGCACCACCATCGTCGTCGTCGTCGTCGTCGTCGTCGCTGCCAATCCGTCATCCATCCGTCATGGGCCCCGCCGCGATGATCATCCCCGTGCTCGTCCTCGCCGTCCTGCACTGTCCAGGATGCGGCCTCGCCGCGCTCGCGCGCTTCCACGAGTTCGGATCCGCGGAGCGGATCCCGGTGGACAAGCATTCCGCGCCGCACGGGCCGCAGATCGACCCGGAGTTTCCCGGTGACCCCTACGCGGCTTATCCCGGCCTGGGCTTCGGACCCATGGGTCCGGTCGTCCGCTCGGCGCTGCCGAACGACGCCACCTTGCGCAGCCTCTCGTCCGCCGCGGGTGCTGCGGACGAAGCCGCGCAACATCCCGAGGGTACCCAACAGCTGACCGCGCGCGACTCCAATACGAAGCACGACGTCGAGCAGAAGCCGAAGCCCGAGTATCGCATCATCACCGTTGAGTTTCCGCGCGTCGAGACGCCCTTCGTCATCGGGATATGGATCTTCTTCGCCAGTCTCGCGAAAATCGGTAAGTTTCATTCTGTGTGCTGATGGTCGAAATTTATTTTCCTTCTTTTCGAAGGTGATGACGGAAGAAAGATGTAGGCGTGAGATACGTTAGTCTATCTCTATTTGAAACACATCGTGTTCAACGTAAACACGAGTTTTCGATATTCGAGAGCGAACTTATTGTGGGGCTGACAGGCGGATATGACATTTACGATAAACATTTCTGATAAATCAAAAAGTTCTTAAATAAATTCGGATATCATCGAAGAAACGTTGAACACGTTTATGTATTTTCTCTCGAGATATTTACCAATATACTTGTATCAGTATATTTGTCTTTAGGAAATCTCTCTAAACATTTTTTTTTTTTTTTTTTATCAAACTCTATTTCTGTTTCTTACTATAAATAGAGCGTAATTTTTGCGATTCCTTAATATAATGTAATCTAAAAAGAATGCTAAATCAAATGAAAAAATTTCCATTCTAATAATAATTCCCAAGTCGTTCTTACGTAACTAAATTTTTTTAATCGTAAATATCAGCGACAACATTATAAAACCAGTAAAACTAGGCAATGTAATAATACGTAATATATAATTTTAAACCTCTAATAGACAACATGTTATTTGAAAATTGTGCTTGTTAACATGTTTTATATCCATTGTAATCAAAAACACATCTGCCATACTTTTATTATCCGCTTATGCATATCAGACCAATGTCAATTTTTACAGCAGCGCTTTTCGATGTGAATACATTAGCGCGCATCATATTTTTCCGCTTGCTTACGTAACAAAAACGTGGCAAACGTCATTGAAAACCAAGTTGTAATACTCGTTACGTTATACAAGGCTCATTATACTGTTTTGCTGCAATAAAATTTGTGTTTAATAATTTAATATATTATATATATTCGCGATTATTCGGTATGCAAACAAAGAGTCCTCATTGTATCGAAAATGTCGCTGAAAATTTGCATTTCAACGCATATTTGACCTGTGATCTATTTCGTATAATCGTGGAATACATAACAAGAGTTCACTGCAAAAGCTCTTGAGAAATTGCTTATGTGACAGAGATTATGATTTTTTTTTACATTTTGAGACGAATAAAAAGATAGCATCAGCACATCGAAAAATTTGAGAATGTAATATCTTGTGACATTTAGGCCCATCATTGTGTGCGTAACGACTACGTATATGTGTGTGTGTGTGTGTGTGTTAAGGAAAGGGGATCGAATGTGAATATTCCATATTTACCGGACACCTTCGAGCAATCTGATGCTCCTTGAATGCACTTTTTCTTTCCGATACGTACAATTTTAATTATGCACGCGTAGAACACGTAAGCACGTGGTTCAAGACGTGATTATTCCAAGAAAAATATTTTTATTGCATGACGACTCGAATGCAAGATAACTCGAAATATTTAATCTTAAGTATACTTATATAAATCGAATTATTTTGCTTTGACCAAATGTGAGGAATTTAAATATAGAGAATAAAGTTTAGGATTTTCGATGAATGGATAGAAAGGTAAAATGTCTCGAAAGAAAAGAATCAAATCTAAACTGTGTCGCTGATGTTTTTATCGTCTGATGACGATGAAAGAATCTCGAGCAAATCGCACGAATTTAAGAATATAAAAACATGCTCGTGCGCATCTATTATCTTACGTAAGCTTTCAAGTTTCGTTCTTTTTGTAGAATTACATAAATATTTTCTATCGTATAAATCGTGACTGTTTTCGTGAATCTTGTTTTCGACAATGAGTCAACGTGATTTATACCTATTCCATTCAACGGCTCGATTATTGTATTCGGGTTGCACATGACTGCAGCGGAGATTTTATAAAGAAAAAAAATATATATCTATATATAGCACCGTGCATAAAATATCCGACACCATTCTCGAATGGCGTGTATTGTTGTGCGACATAGTCATGGGTGTCCGCAGGATTTTTTCCAGGAAGGGGTATAATTGAATTTTTTGTTTTTTATTTTTTGGTCTTTCTTAATTTTTTAAAATTAAAATTGTTTTATATTAAATATGCAAAGAAATTCCAGTATTTATTTAAAAAAAAGAGTAAATGTCTTAATTTTTTACTGAATTCAAGAAGGGCAAATGCCTCCTCTTGGCCAAATCCCTCCCTGTGGACGCCTATGGACATAACACAATACATCTACAGGTGAATGGGACACCTCGGAATTACCGTCAATAAGGGATGTCAAATTACGGGGGTACGCACGCGACACGTTGCACCACCTGGAATCTTCGCTGCACGTCGTATATCTTCAATGAAATTCGAGATCAAGATCCTTCGGTGAATTCCGATGCTGGTTAGAGATGTCATTCTGGTGTCTCTTCAGCATCGGAATTCGAAATTCCGAGAAAAATCTAATTTCCGACGATGGTTTTCCAATGAATGATCCGCAAAATAATAAAAAAAAAAAATATGACACGACGTTTCGACATGCAGGCTTCCACATGGCGCCGAAGCTCAGCAAGATCTTTCCCGAGTCCTGCTTGCTGATCGCCGTCGGGGTGATCATCGGCCTCCTGCTGTTCCAGGCGAGCAGCGTCCACGTGTCCCCACTGACCCCGGACACGTTCTTCCTGTACATGCTGCCGCCCATCATCCTGGACGCTGGCTACTTCATGCCCAATCGGCTGTTCTTCGACCATCTCGGAACGATACTGCTGTTCGCCGTCCTTGGGACTATATTTAATACGATGTCGATAGGTCGGTAAGACTACGCGCGTTCAACCGACGCGACGCGACGCGCCGGACAATTTTTTTTCGAATCGAATTCTTTTTTTATTCTTTTCCCTCGACGCGAGTCCTCTATCTTTTCTAACTCGGGCACGATTTTGCCTCGCCCGCGTACTTAACGCGTGGATTTCTCATCTAGAAACGCGGACACGTATAATCCACCCACCTATCCCAGGGGACAAAACTGAGCGTGTTATCCGAGTGATTTCAGGCATAAAATGTCATGAAATATATAAACTTGGATATACTGCTGTAAAAAATTATGTCACGTGTCGGGACCGAAAAATAACTTTCAGATTATTGCATTATCAGTTCTATTACGAGTGTAGAGATGATTCGAAATATTTAATATCCTTTGTTTAAGTCGAATTATTGCTTTTATCACATATAGAGAATTTAAATATAAAAACTTTAGAATTATTTTCCATGAATGGATAGAAAGATCAAATGTTACGAACAGGAAATCTTAATTTAACGTGAATCTGTATACATTATCAAGGCTTTCCAAATTTTGTGCATATTGAAATGCTAAAATCGGAACGTGTCGTAAAATATGGAAAAAAAAATAAATGGTCATAAATATTAATAGTCACAAAATATTGGAAAAAAAGTAATTGAAAAGATATTAAAAAATTCTAATAAAAAATTCAGAAACGAGTTGATCCGCGTATACATATGCGAGGGAGCACATGTGGGGAAAATTGATCGCCGCCGAAATCGAATAAAGTTTTCATTCTTCGCTTCTGCGCTCGCAGCCTGTTCGCGCAGATGTTCGATCTGCGAACGCGGAGAAAACGCAGCTTAAGAACGCGCGAACGAAAATAGCGCGTGCGTCGAAGGGAACGCGATGACACGCGGGAACATGCGCGTTATTCATGTCTATCTGGCGATGACTGTCACGTATCCGCAGTGATAACCGCTATCAGAATGATAACTTAAATAATTTCGATGGTGACTCCGTGATAATCGCGGGCGAAGTTATCGCGACGAAAAAAAAAGAGGGGAAACTGGCGAGCGATGTTTGATGAAGTCTGAATTAAAATTTAGCATCCGATAAAATCTCGTTAAGAGCAGCAGATATGACGGGCGTAAATGACAGGCACGATAATCGATTAGGATTGAAGACTTCATATATAAAGAGATTGTCAGTGTCATAAATTTTCAGGCTGTTAGTTTTTATTACAAGGGAGACGCCAAGAAAGCTAACCAAGATTAATAGTGAAAATAAGATAAGAGTTATTCGCGTACGATCATTTACGAATATAAATTATGAATGCAAAAATCACACTTTTTTTATAAATAAATAGAATGTTATAAACTTTTTCCCCGCGTAAGCGAGCGAAGAATTTTCTTTAGCTCTTGTGGCCTTAATTTATATTAAGTCGTTAATTATTTCAATTGTAATTTCAAATAATTAGATTTTATTTAATAAGTTTTGTTTTTTTTATATTATTTAATAAGCACACGGCAGCAGAGAAACGTGGAATAGTTCTGTTGCAATTAATTAGGAGAAATTTTGTTTTTTTTTCTGGATTCTCGAATAAAAAACTAACATCAGGTATTAAAATTCTGCCGAATACCGAAATCATAACTTGCGATCTTAATTAATATACAGATGAATGGACAAATATAAAGACATGAATTTTGTATTCAGAAGACGTAATTTCAAAGATGTTTTTTGAAGGAGAGCAAAAGAACGAGATAAAAGAATTGAAAAGTCCGCGATAAGACGTTACGTTAAGACTTAATTATTTTTAACGACGTTTATGATAATTATCACGATAAGTCTTAACGATCTTAACTGAATTAATCAATGAAAAAAAAAAAAAAAAATGTGGCGGAAATGAAAACTCCTCGCCTTTCCAGAAACGTGTCATGCATAACTTTCAAATAAAAGTGGCTCGGGATTAAGCACAACAATAAGGTCGATCGATAACACGAAATTACGGTCTTAATCAACGTACACGATCAGCGCAGATTAAAAACTACCCTGTAATCGTTGTGAATCCTCAGAGGACTTAATATTTCGACCGAGAGTGAGAAGGAAAGCCTTGATAAGTACGATAACACGCGTGGGCTGGGCTGGGCGCTGGTACTCGATAATGCAAATTTCTATCTTTGGCAACGTTAATCGTTTTCTCTCACCCTCTCTCTTTCTCTTTCCCGTCCTCTTCCGTATCGCGGTAGCGTTCAATGACACTTCGCGAATCGATAGGATAATAATAATCTCGTTGAATTGACAATTTATCCGAATGCGCTGAAATCGGATTGAGAATCATAATTTAACGATATGCGATAATTAGTCCGATTCGATAACGATATCGAATATCGCATACGCGTTCGCATTAGACGAAGCCCCATGTCTGCTTTAGGTGCGTCCTTATGGTTACTGGGGAAAAGCGGCATATTCGGCTGTGATACGCCTATCCTCGACATGTTCCTATTCTCGGCGCTGATCAGCGCGGTCGATCCCGTGGCGGTGTTAGCCGTCTTCGAGGAGATCCACGTAAACGAGATCCTCTACATCGTCGTGTTCGGGGAGAGTTTATTGAACGACGCGGTCACTGTCGTGAGTATTATTACATTATTTCTATTACACGATCCTGTGTGTATGTCAATAAGGAATTCGCTACGTAGGTGGGACAGTGAAGAGAAATCTTTGTTTTTTTTTCTTCTCGTGAAGGGTTAAAGGTTAAATCTCTTTCCGAGAGATGATGAAAGCCGATCAACTTTGGTCGCGCATCGTTTGAGAAGATCTCTGTGTCTCATGTACGATAAATTGGTATTAAAAGAAAATATCTTCCTCCTTTGGAAGTAATTAATACGACAAAAAGTCATATAAATATATCCAACACGAGAATATTATTTTTGTCGAGGTAAATTTCTATAGAAATTTTATAGAAATTTTTATACTCGGAGAGAAATTTCTTTTAGAATTTATCTTCAAAATCATGGTAATCGTAGGACAATATATAGTATTGGAAGAATTTTATGAGTTTCTCTGATTAATATTTATCACAATAAAAAATATTAATATGTACATAATAAAATTAATTGAACGTATTTTATATCTTATTGTAGTAGATATTAATATTTTTATTGTGGTAAATATTAATCAGAAAAACGCTTATAAAATAAAATTCTTGCAATATCATATTGTGTTACAATTACCCTGATTTTCAGAGTAAATTCTAAGAGAAAATTCTCTCTATGTAGAAGTAAAATAAAGCATTTAAATTGATTACGCGTAAAGGAATAATAAAATAATGGAGAATATATCTCTGTCCGCGAAAAGATTAATTTTTAACTATGTCAGTGATTGCGAGCCAACATGAATATATAAATAATTGGTAATATGTGACAAGAGGGAGAAAGATAGGATCAATATACCCGCGATATCATTTTCTATACACGACCCGATCTCTTGCTGCGATCTGTTCTTACAGCCGCGTTCAGGAATTGGCCCTGAAGCTGACGTAGATTAATATTTTTCTGTCAAACGCTCCCATTAGAATATCTGATACCTAGATAGAATATTAAAGCTTACTTGTGATTTCGCGAAACGACAAGCAAACTCGTCAACCGAGCGATCGATATAATATCGATCACGTTGTCCGTAGTAAGCGCGAGTTCAAGCATCAAATAGCTTCGTCTCGCTTGAAAATTAATATCATATTTGTTCATGAAACACGTACGATCGGTGATCTGTGACGCTTCACTTGAATTAAACAAAACGACGTAATGAAACGCAATCGTCGCGACGACCTCGCTAAAATGCACTGGCGCCTTGACGATTATTAATATCGTTCACGGGCAATTAATTCTCCAAAAGTATCTTTTTATCGCTCAACCAAAAATAAAAATAGCTGCGCACATTACGATTATGAATTTCATTCATTTGCGCTAATTTTATTTCTTACATAGCGAGTATATGCATATTCTATAAATAAACGAAATCTTTCGAGATATAGATCACTGTTTCCAAATGAAATTTATAGTTTATTTTCGTACTTACCGGGTCATTAATTGATCGCTCGGAAAAGAGTTTCCTTTTTATTGCGATAAATTCAAGTCAGGTCGGGGCTAAGAATGGTATATGCGAAAAAAGTTGCACCGTTAACGATCCGCTGCTCATTAAATTCGTGCTATATACACATGCGAATAAGCGAGCGAAGGAAAGTGTCAGAGGTTATTGCGACAACTTGAAGTAAAAAGCCATTTAATACTGGCAGGTGCTCTATCACATGTTCGAGACCTACAGCGAGATGGGCCCTTCCAGGATCATCTACACGGACGTACTAGCGGGTTTAGCCTCGTTTCTGGTGGTGGCGATCGGCGGAGCGTTCATAGGTATAGTTTGGGGTTTTGCTACTGGCTTCGTGACCAGATTTACTTACCAGGTGCGCGTGATCGAGCCGATCTTCATATTCGTGATGGCGTACTTGGCTTACCTCAGCGCGGAGATCTTCCATTTGTCCGGCATATTGGCGTAAGTAAATAATCCATTTTGACGTATTGCGTTGTGTTGGCTCCAGCTTCGGGAAACATAGAGTTGCAGCATCGCTAAATTAAAAGATCAAAACACTCAATGTTGTTTGCCTTCATCGTGATTCGCGCAGAATATTATAAATTATGAAATATATATAAAAATTAATCAATGAAATGTCAATCGTTTATTATAATGCGAAAATTCAAAGAAACTGATATAAATGCGTCAAAGACTTGTCGTTAGAGGAAATATTAAATGAAATAGCATTAAATGTACATAGAGAGACGTTTTAAATGGTACGCTCTAATTCCCGTAGTCTGTCATAATTGCTCGCGTTTCCAGGTAAGGCTGTCGCTCATGCGCTTTTAAAATCGTTGAAATAACGACAATTGTCATGCTATTCATTTTATATATCTCTCTCTCTAATTCTTTTATTCCAGAATAACCTTTTGCGGCATTACCATGAAGAATTATGTCGAGGCTAATATATCACACAAGTCCCACACGACCGTCAAGTATACAATGAAGATGCTGTCGAGCAGCTCGGAGACAATCATTTTCATGTTCCTCGGTGTCGCCACAGTGAACAATACACACAACTGGAATACATGGTTCATCGTCATGACGATAGTCTTCTGCTCCGTTTATCGGACTGTGGGCAAGTAAAAGCCAGATTTTCTAATTTTAGAGAAGCTTCCTCTCTACAACTTACCACACTAAATTCTTATCTTTAAATAGCTATTATGGAATACGCAAATAATTACTTCAGCTTTTTACACGAATAATTAATTGTGTTTTTTTATTGCGCGTGCTCTTTGTATTATAAATCTATGTATTTGTTTACTAATTCTAATTTATAAATTTTCCCTCGTGATATAATCATAAGCGATGATGGATGTAGAACTTCAAAACATTTTTTCATAGAAAAACCAACTACTTGATAAGCAGATAATTATCTTGGTCGCAGAAAGAATTATATTTAGAAAATTTATATTAAAAAATATTTAAATTTAGCAGGAGTTTAATTTTAATTAATGAATATCAAAGCTCTCACTTTCGATATGTATGATATGCGTGTCTATTTTATTCGTTTATTTTTCTCCTAATAATAATTTCCACAATAATTGCAAAATAAACTTTCAATTATTAGCGTGGAAAAAAGTTGGAATAATATATTACGAGAAAAGAAATGAGGAAAAGTACGTAGCGTGAGATAAAGAAAAAGTGGAAAATCGTGTCGAAGAATTCTTACACGATCGCGCGGGCCTTGACCGGACTAGTTGGAAGGCGTTAAGGGCATCGCTTTACCAGCGAGCGAAACGATGATATGATGTAAGGCGATATGATTAAACGATGAAATCATAATGGGACTTAAGACAATTGACTCCTGCTTACACGAGCCATCTTACGTCACGCGTATTAGCGCGTGCGACGCGCTTCACTTAAGGCTTCTTCTACTAACCGGACAATTCGTCGTTCGATCATGTGGAAAATTTGTAATAGGAACGAAACGCGTTTGTTTCATTAAACGTTCCATTAAACGTTTTATTAGATATATTAGACCGGCATTCTTGCGCATCTTTGTAATTGATAATTCTATGCATTTACATTGCAATTGAATAAAAATATATGTGGATATGAAAAATAAAGATTATATATAATGTCTAAAAATATAATAAAAAACTAGTTCAAAAAATATACATACGTTAACTAATGTTTTATTATATTATATTTTTAGACATACATTTTTTTATTTGTGCATATACATAGGTATGTAGTACGATTTTGATGTGTGAAGTCCTATAAAAAAATGTGTTCTAGTTATCGCGAGTCGTAACATATTGTATCAAATAATGTCACACGTGCGGGATATGTATGACAGTTGTAATCACGCTTGACCTCGTGTGCTGCAGGCGTGATAGTGCTCACGGCGGTGGCGAACCAGTTCCGACTCCACAAATTGGACAAAGTGGAGAAGTTTGTGATGTCCTATGGCGGTTTGCGTGGCGCGGTGGCATTCGCTTTGGTGCTCCTCATAGATCCTAGACACGTACCCCTACAGCCCATGTTCGTCACCACGACTATCGCAGTTATCTACTTCACCGTGTTCATCCAGGTAAGATTGTACGATTGTGTAAGATTATTGTACGGTGGAGCGATCACGAACGGCCGAGATCGATATAGAGGAAGGAAACGCGAATGCAAATCGACTTCATCGTCGTTGCGTAACGACGACGGTCGCGCGTGTTACTTGAAGAGATGCAAGATGTAGACCTTGCCGAACGAAAACGCAGTCAGCGTCGTCTCTCTCGCAGAACAGATGACTCGTGCGTATTTTGAGACGCGGCCAAAGGTGTAGGGTGTAGGCACGCGTGTGCATACCGAGAAGAGCATCTTTCTCCAACGAGAGATTATATTTTATTTTCGGAGCAGAAGAGAGAACGCGAAGGAGAAAAAGGAAAGAGATCGCGACTCCGTCATTATATAAATCGATCGCCCGTTCGACGATCGGCGATTAACGAGCGCGCGACGAGCGTTGATGAGATGAAGAAAAGTCGCAAAAAAGTAGGGAAAAAAAGCTCTGTTCTAGACACGTGTGCGTCTTTGTTGCTCGATCGATCGGAAACCTAATATCTCTATGTCGTACACACTTGAGCGTACACTTTTGCGTCGAGCGTTTTATCATCCATATACTACCTTTTCTCCGCTTGGCGCCGACCGATAATCCGGCTCACGTCAGAAACGGTCGCGTCTCGCGATGACAGGCCATGCTTAACGGGCTCTTATTTTTAGGGAATCACCATCAAACCCCTCGTCAGAATTCTGAATGTCAAGAGGGCCGAGAAAAGGAAACCGACGATGAACGAGAGAATCCACGAGAGGGTACGTTTCACAATACGAATACTTCGAAGACGGTTTTTCCTGCTTTATACGTTTTGATAAATCGAGGTCATTCGAGGAAATATACGCGATCGAAATAGAGTATATGCAAATGCAAAAAATTCGATAAAAAAATTTGATGTAAAAATTCGATTCGGAGAGAATTGTTATCGTCATCCTCGATGAGCCTGTTGGCTCTCGAGTCCCGGCGTATTTTTCTTCAACGGAACGACAGAACCAGCCGTACAATCGATACGAAGAATAAGGTCGAATTATGAAATAGGATAACGTTTGTCATTGTCAAGCCGCATTATAGAATGTGTACATAACGGCAATTTTCACCAGGACTTTGATACAGCATTCTGCTTACGTTTGCGTTTACTCGCGTAGCAAATCCTCGTATTATAGATACGTGACACATTTTGTTCGTCGTGTAAACTGCAAAATAAATAATTGTTTTCTAATCTGATTGTCCTCTAATTTAATCTAATTCTCAGATAATGGATCATACGATGGCGGGTATCGAGGATATTTTGGGAAAACACGGCAACTACCACGTGCGCGATAAGTAAGATAATAAAATTTGTTTAATTAATCAAACAGAGATTTGGATAAAATTGTCGATAGACTAAGCAGAAGCAAGATAAAATTAGCGAATCTGTATTTTTCTGTATTTAAATTAAAAGTACAATTTTTATAAATTTGTTTCTAATTCAAATAAAAAAGATTAAAGAGTTGTATTTTCTAAAATGCAATACAATTGCATGCTTAACAAATAAACAACAAAGTTGCAATCTAATTGTCAGACTATTCTCTGTTTCCGTATAAAAACAGCTGATCTGATTTGCTATAGATTCAAGCGATTCGACAACAGATTCATCCGACCTTATCTCGTGAGAAATCACTGTGGCGCAGAGCCGAAAATTTTGGAAACCTATTCGAAGCTGGCGATGAAGGATGCGTTGGATTATATAAGAAGAAATGCCTCAACTATCGGCAATATTAGCGGCACCGAAAGTATGTCGGCGATATTTCGTAATTACAGTAATACCGGACAGTTTAATGGAAGGTGCGCAATTTTCATTGTTTCTTTCTCTGCTGACAATCGTCGTATTCAAATAAAAGTGCAGTCTAATCGCATTCTTTTTTCCTCTCCAGTCCCAGCTGCAGCCAGCTCGAGACCGGATGGAATATCGATCTTCAGGAACTCGAGTACAATCCTTCTAAAAAAGACCTAACGGACGCGAGAATTCACCATCTACTTGCCGAAGAGCTTTGTAAACCGTACAAAAGGGTAAGAGATTATAATCAAATATTAGATATTTTTAGATCTTTCCATAATAGATATGATCTCTCGCATAATATATTAAATATAAAATAATAATTCTATTATTCTATATTATATAAGTTTTAAATTAAATTTCTCGACGAAAACATTTCAAGACAATTTAATTTTTAATCAAATATCTCGACATCTATCTTAATTCTCGCTTAATTATAGCTTTAAAAATTTTTTTAAATTCTAAATTCGTAAGAGAAATTGTACCTAAAGCATAAAGAATTTTATATTTAGCATCGGCGTTTAAGCTACAGTCGACACGCAGTAAACGATCGGGATTTGTCGACACAAGTCAATTACAAAATGCACATGAATATTCGACGGATGATGGGAGAACACAAGCATCGCCACAAACGCAGCAAAAAGTTACTCAAAGTAAGACTCGATCAGTATTTTTTCAATCGTTTCCCATAAGTTTAATTTCGATATTTTTCTTCTTTTTTATTTATTCGATTTCGATTGTGTAGGACGGCAAACAGAATCACGTTAGTTTCCCAGAATTTCAACAACAAAACGGCTCGACAAAATTATTTACGCAAGGTACGTGTATGGTAAAATGTCACGTATAATTAATCGTGCCACGAAGTATCGTTATTATTCTCATGTATTATCGTGCGATAGATTACATCAATGGCGTGCTGTACGAGTTAGAAAACGGAGAAAATGGAGAAAACGGAGAAACCTCGGAGAAGCCTTCGAGCAAAGAGGATTGGGATTCGGCGATCACATTCACCGCACGAACGTCCGGTGAGAAAACTTTTTTATAAATTATTGAATTAAATTAAGTGATTAATGAGTGTATGTCGCCGCGAATGCAACGATTAAGCGGCCAAAACGTCATAAAATAAATGAAATTTCGATTTTTTTTTGATAGTCAAAATTATCTCACACGACACATAAGTGTACTTAATTGCTCTTTCAAGAAAAAGAATAGCCATATAACTAATAAATTTTAAAATCTCTAAACGGAAGATTCGCCCAATGTAAACGCGGAGAATCAACACGCTACCACTGCTACTACGTCGATGGATACGATAAATACGGATGAAGGAGATTTGAAAATAGGACGCGACGGTACGTTCTCGCAAAGAGAAAGAAAAGAGGCCAAGCGTTGACTTTGTGTTGCTTTATGAATCGTTCTTTTCTGTTTTGCGTATTTGTTACATTGATCAAGCGTTGACTTTGTACCGCGAATTGCTTTTCTTTTTTTGCGTATTTTTTTTTTTTACTGCTAATCACTTATTTTTCGAGCGCCTGTTCATCTTATTTAAGGAGATTTGATTTGAATCCGATTCTTCGTAATCGTATCGGATTCAGAAACTCCGTTTTGATATTCCTTTTGAAATTGTCTGGCATCTGCGGTATTTGGTTTAGGCGCGGAAGGCTATAGGGTAACCACCCCCACGGCAACGGAAACCATGTTACCGTGGAAACGTGAAGACGATTATGAGTCAGGTCATCCGATCAAGCAGAACGAATTTCCAGCTTGGTGCTCCAATAAGGAATACCTCGCCTACAGCTCGCCTTCTGCCACTTTCTTAGGTAAAAAATGAGGACAGATCGATTGATCACTAAATATCAATTTACTATTACATTTTCGATGGTTTTTATATTAAAAAAAAAAAAAACAATGAGAAATGCAAGTCACATGTTTGCTTAAAAAACTTCTTAAAATTTTTGTCCACAAAAAAAGAAAAAGAAAAATCTTTGAAAAAGTATTTAATATTTAAGAGAGCTGTCTGCTCGCTAGCGATGTCCATTATGTCTTTCCATTTTTTAGGTGGAATCGAACAACCGAAAGCCCAATCCGTGTTTGGCCTATTTCGACGTGAGAGCGTGTGTACGCCCGATATCGATTGTCAGGAGACCGTCGACGAGGCGGACGAAACAGACGAATACACCCCCGCGCAAATGGATTCCCCCGTTAAAACCAAGGGTACGTGACGCAAAGCAGAAGGAGGGTACGTGTGTCGTCTTTTTATTTCTTCTCTTTTTTTCGCTCCCCTTTTTCTCTAAACGCGTATATCCTCTTTTACAACCGCGTGGAGCAAGTGCTCTTGACCGAGATATACATCGGCGTAAATATGTCTGAGAGTTCCAAGAATTGCGGGAGAGATTCTCAACGATGATTGTAAATTGTAATTATTGAGTAATGTGATAAATAAATAATTTAAGCGGCCAAAAATGTTGAGAACTAATGCACGAAGAAGCAAAAATGTTGAGAACCTCTAAGCTATTTCTTCATGCGTGCTGACGGGCGTCACTCATATTGCGTTCTATGTACATCCGGAGCTATTTTTGCGAGCAATTGCAAAATGAGCATCGACACGAAAGGCGCTCTACAATGTTAGAACTATTAACTGTTTTGCTACAGACATATTTTCTAAAATGTATTGCATGCATAAATATCTAACTCGATTTGTAGAAATCTTATTTCTTCGTTATATTGTGCAATAGATATTAATATTGTCATGTAAGAAAAAAGTATAGTCTAAGCTCCTTTAGCTTTTTCACTTTTTTCTGTGTATGTAAATACAATTTTTTTAGAACTAGCTTCTTATATATATACGAATACTATCCGCTACGGTATATACTTGCGATGGTGCCGCGGCGGACATAGATCTTTGAATAAATAAATTTAGTATTGACTTAGCGCACAGCTTGAGCTATTCAGTTCCTCTAACGTATGAATTTGAATATCGCATTTCTCTATCCAGTAACAATAAAAAGGAACATGGTCTCTTCCATCCGCAGGCAACTCGAGAGTGCCCGCGAGACGGAGGGTGTCGATGATGGAGCTCGGATCCGCCGAGCGGAAGAACTCGATGGACAGGACTGGGGATGACGGTTCTCACTCCTTGCCAGACTGCTGGAGCGCCCAGAGGATGCGTATTAACTCCTTCGCTTGCTCGTCCGCCCAGATGCCGAGCCTGTCAACCGCCCTGATCACCTCCTCCACGTCGGAGTCGTCGGAGGACGTGGAGGACGACGAGGACGTGGAGAAGGCTTGACCCTTGGGGACCGTCGCCGAGGAGCGACTGTCCGTATACGCGGACGACGTCGAGCGTCGACGACGTCCCTTTCGACGACCGCCGCGACGACACTCGTTGCTCACGTCGCTCCTGCGACGCCCAAGTGCCCCCGTTTGAGAGGAGCTGCCCTTGACAAGTCGCCTTCTGCAGGAGGAGACTTATTGCGAATCGCGGCCCGAATCTCATTGATTGCGCCTCCGCTCTGTAATTGTGAAATCTTCAATCGCGAGCAGCGATGGACGAATTTCGCAGAAAGGACGGCGAAGAAATATCATTGCGTCGATGTTTTTCGATTCGGATTTTCTACGAGGAGAAATATATGTATTTATAGGGAAGCGCGAAAATTCTCGCGCTGAATAGAGAAAGTTTTTTGCGAGGAGAGAGAAAAGAGAGAGATAAGATATTTTTCTAAAAGTTAAGTAATAAGTTTCTCTGCTTATATAATACGATGAATCTTATTAAAAGCGGGATCTTTTGCTTGCGTTAGAGATACTCTGATCGTTACGCGAATTCAAAGGAAATGGAACAGGTAGACGAAGAATAGGAAAATCACTTTCAATCACCGTTTTTTTCCTGTGGAAAACAAATTATTCGCGAGAACGAGGGCGCTTGTCAAGAGCAACGGCTTATTTCTAAATCCGTCTGTAAGACGTCTTGGAATCGTGGCCTTAAGGATTGTGGAAGTACTTAAACGCCGACGATTGCGTCGTTGGCGCAAAGAGAAAAACAAATTTATTTGTCGGTGCTATCGGTAAATATCTTGCAGAGAAATCATTTCGCCGCAAATGACTTGTCCCAAGATTTACCACGAGTTCCTTCTCTCGGAGGTTGATTCGATGATGAGCTCACACACCACGATCATCGCTGCTGTGTGCTTCACAAATTGAGCTATGATCAAACTATCGACTTTTAAAAAATCGAGAATATTGCGCTTTTCGCAATTTACCACTTGATTAAATAAAGTAATAAGGCGACGCATTCGATACGCGTTCACTTGTGGTGAACCAAGTCGTTAGTTCGATCGCAGCTATCTCGCAAAATCTAGCGTTAGGTGTGTCCAGCATCGTTAGCAGTCCCGTTTGTCACGGTTTCTGACGCATGCATGGCACGCAGCAATATATGCCGCGGTATAGATGATATCCCATAGCGGTGCATCCGCGGCCGAATTTAGGAAATTTCTTTTTAAGCGAACGACTCAGTCAAAAAATAATAAATACCATTACATAGAACCAGCGCGAGTGAGATAAATAGCAGACGCGTCGTTCTCCCTTCGAGTATGGCCTTAAAAAAATACTTTCCTGTAAAAAAAACGGATACTCGTGTGTAATAACGGTGCATGTGGTGCGTATAATACACTGTCACACATTGTTAATACCAGCACCGCGGCACCACTTGGTCAATATTTAGAAAAGAAACAGCAGCATGTACATACAAATTTTTCTTAGAAAAAAAAGATACGCTAGAAAATTGTCAGCATCCTCATCGTCATTTTCTCAACTGCATTTTCATCCTTACTATTTTTGTTAACGTTTAGTATTATTTCGTCGCTTCAGAAAAGAGAAGAGAAAAAAAGAGGCACAGAATGCGAACCATTTAGAGCATTCGGTATTCTAGTTATTATTGTTACAATTGTTACTCTATCTCGCTAGTGATGAATACTAGTTCTACTAATAATCAATAATGCGATTATATAGCCATCGCAGACAGAAAGCGGAAACGCATCGAGCTCTGCTAGATTTCGAAAGTCGAGGGGAACGTCGACTGGAATTTTTTGACAACTGGAAATCATTGATTTTGATTATCAAATTATTGTCGAAAATATTACATAACAATGTTAAACGTGATTATCTCGCGAATGATGAAACCTTGTCATCGAACGTCCCGAAAAATTTTGCATATATATACACTGAAAAAAAAATTTTGTTGGATTAACAAAAATTCTGTTCGAAAATGGACGAAACAAACTGATTTGTTGTACAAACAAGATGCTTGTTACATTAAAAGGAATTCTGGTAGATTCTTGTTGCATTAAAGGAATTCTGGTAGATTCAACTAGTAATTCCGTTTCGTCCATTTTCGAACAGAATTTTTGTTAATCCAACAAAATTTTTTTTCCAGTGTAGAAAAAAAAATTGCGATCTTTCTCACTTTGTTTTTTTGTGCATCACTATTGACAATTAATGGCAATTTTATTATTGTCATAAAGTTTTAGCCTTAAAATTTTAATAAAAACTGGACCCTTTTTAATCTTTGACCATTATACTCCATAATTCTTGGAGGCATTTTTATACGCTTATACTTCTTTCTAGACGATATTGCGGAGCACTTGATTGAACATATATGATCTCTGCTATTGAACCATTTTTGCACAAGGGTGACAGGGTAATATAAATTTGCTTTGTCAAAAAAAAAGAAAAAACAAACGAAAAGAAAAAATGAAAAATTTTCTCTGACGATAGATAAAAATGATTTTGCACGGGTATATATTGGGAGTTCCCCTCGCATGGAATATTCCTCGCGGCCTTTAGTTACTTAGACCGGATAAAAAAACGTCAGACTAGTTTCTAGACGCTAGTCTCAACGCGCTGTTGATTTGTTAAAAGAAGAAAATAAATGTTTATTTCTTAAAGGATCGTATATCACTTACTTGTATGATCTCCTTGAAGTATCCTGCTGTCCTCTCGCCAACGATGACCCTTATTGAGTATATTAGACAAACTTTTCCCAAGTCTCCAAATTTCCTTCTTTTTCTTTTTCTATACTGACATTCTCTTTTCTGAAAAAAAATAAAAAATTATGAAATACAAAAAATTTACAAATGCTTTTTTAATTAATAATTCTTCAAATATTTCGAACCCTCGAACATCAAACACAGTTCTGCAACCATCTGAAAACAGCATTGAAGTCGTCGTCATCGTTTGCTAAACAATTACGAGCCAGGCAATAAATGAATTATCATTAGCTAATGAAATTGATATTTTCGATCTTTTAAAGATCGTTCGAGATGAACGAAATAGAGAAGCCTCGACTGTTGAACGATACAAATCGCGTGAGTGATTTTTGCATTTTTTAAATAAAATTTCAAACATGCCCGGGGGTGTCGTATTTCTTGTCTGCATTCCCACCCTGAGCTATGAACACGAACTTGTGTTCGGTGTGCCGCTGAAATGTTCCAAGAAAATCGAAAAGAACAAGAGTAAAATCGCAGTATCGCCTAAGGTGGATCTACGTCTGAAAGAAGTGAAAACGCGCACAGAATTGCTCTCGATCAATGATGACGACGACGAAGACGACGACGTCGGTATTAGGAAGCGCATTCGTGGATATTCAGCGCGATCGAAAACGCCAGTTTTCGTGTCGATGGAAACGGTAGAATATAAAAAAACATCACTATTAAAATTATCAATTATTATAAAATTATTAATTATTAGAATTCTGAAAAAATAAATATGTTACTATATATTTTACAATCAAACGTATATAATTATAGTTTAAATTCCACATATTTTTCTATTATTACTCTTTTCAAATTATTCATCTTTAAAAAACAAAAATCAAATTATTCTTCATAAATCGATATTCATAGAATCAAATTATTATTTCGCTAACAATAAGAGTTGCATTCTATCGCAGGTGCTGCAAGAGCTCCTCAAAAAGCTAAAAGTAGAACATGTCGTATGGTGCAAGGATAAAGAGGATATGTATTATGAGGTATAGAAAAAATTGCAAATATTTCTTTTTCATTTCTAAATGTTTGTAAATCCAAACGAAATTTTCCGGTGCAAGGTGATATTTCCGGTCCCTGCTGGCGAACCCTGCGAAAATTGCATACATTGTCTCACTGAGATGGGTATTGGTGTTAAAATGAACTCGATAGTAAGGTGATTTATGCTAAGCTGAAGATCTTACGCATACGATATAAGTTCAGCATCATGACGATGTTGATTAATTTTTTTCAGCGTAATCCCGACACAATGTACGTATAGCGGTGCAGGATTGCCGGCTGTCAAAGATGACGTTGTTCGCAGGTTTCTCTAATTAATCCTGTTAATGAAATTAATATGAAAGTACAGAGAATTAAATTATTTAAAAAAACATTATTTAACATATATAATATATATACATATTTTATGTTCAGGCGAAAGGAATCGGAAGAGCATAAGAATGCTTGGAATGCTTTCGTAGACTCTATCAGATCAAAATTGACAGTGAAACAGGTGGTCGATGGTGTTCGCAGCGGCGGTGATCTTACTTTTGATTACGTGCTACTAGTATTAACTGCGGAGTAAGAAGGCAAAAATTATTATTATCGGTTTTTTTATATACGCTATTCCTAGATAAATAATTGATCAGAAATACGAGTTTTTTTCGATATCTAACATTATCGAAAACTAACATTCTTATCCCTTATTATTAACAATTTTGTTGAATACAATTATCAAATATAAAATTACCATATTACTTCAATAGATAAATTCTATCGAGATTTAATCTGCAATATTTTTTTTTAATTATGAGAAATATATATTTCAAATAATAATTTAAATATTATAAAGCAAATTTATAGTACTTGAAAATCCAAATTAAATTAAGAATATTGCAGTACTTCTTCCGGTCCGTGTTGCCCGTAACTAACAATAAGTCTTTGTACTTTTCGGAAAGTCTCGTCATTCATCGCTTCTCTGATCGCTTCGTTTAATGTGCGTTCCAGCGCTCGTTGTTTAGTTGTGCTCAATCCATCGTAGAAACTGAATGAACAGAGTGTAAACATTATATAATGCCATCCCTTTAATATTTACATTCGGTTTTTAATAATTCGCGCATAACTTTTAACTGCAAGAATTACAATCTTACAGCTGTCTTGCTGCACTCGGCCTTATCGAGAACAATGCGCCTAACGTCGTTGCAGCTATGCTAGTTTCTCCTCTTATGGTATAAAACCTTTTAATGCAACATTATTAATTATTCATTTTCATATTTCTCTGATCGTGTCATCTCGTTGATCAAAGGGACCTGTAATGTCTCTGACCTTCGGGACTATCATAGCCGACAGAGATCTGCAGGTGGTCGGCCTGAAGAGTTTGATGCTCGGTATTTTTCTATCAATTCTCTTCGGATTTATATTCGGTCTTATCCTCGGTACAACCGAGATGCCTTGGGGTTACAATGATTGGCCAACCGAAGAAATGAAGGGTAGGCACGTATCGTTAAAAACAATCAGTTGCAATTTATCATGCAATAACTGCATTGCTGCAACTTTCAATTATAATCGCCTCAATTATAAATTTCATTTAAATAACGTTTTTTCCTGTAGAGGCAACTACAGATCGCTTTGGATGGGTGTTCTTTGGGCTCTTCCATCTGGCACAGGTGTCGCAGTCGCTTTGATGCAAGGTAGCAATGGGCCATTAATTGGCGTCGCTATATCGGCTTCATTATTGCCACCAGTTGTTAACTGTGTAAGAAACAACAGAGCGCATATGGTAGAAAAATAAATAGTCTGATACAACAATTACAATTGTAAAGATATCCATTATCTTTTTTTCTTTTGCTAGGATTGGCGTCAACGAGCATTCGTATATTGATCGAAGAGACATATATTTATTTTTTCCAGGGTTTATTTTGGGCTCTGGGATGCATATGGCTCATATATCGGCCTATAAAAATGCCCCACATCAAAGGCGAATCTTATACGGATTTTAATAGCTCGTACACTTATATCTATAGCAATTACTTGCCCGTAGAATTCTTTTGCAACGGCATTATCAGCGCGTGTCTGACGTTTATCAACGTAATATGCATCTTTATTACGGCGATAATAGTCTTGAAGGTAACTAAATTAACACGCGATGTAATGACTGATAATAGCCGAGAACAATCACAAATTATTGCTATGTATATAGCTTGCCTCGCTTTTGTTACGTCATCGCGATAAAGAACATATATATACATCGCGCAACCTATTACAAAATTTAATTATCAAAATATATGCAAGCATATTGATAACCGCGCGCAATAATTAATCGTGCGATAGTTTATCGATTTTTTTAATACATTACATTATATACTTTCTTATCGTTATGCGTCAATGTTATTTTTATCTCCGCTGTAATGACTCAATCAAAACCGTAGATTAAAGAAGTGGCCGCACCGTATACATCCACGCCGGAATTGCGCCGGTTTTGGGAGCATGACATCCGTTTGGTTCGCGATAAGAATATCTCTTCCAGAGATAACAGTTCCCTGGATTCGAGGTAATAAAAAAAACCGAATGTAAATATTTAAAGGGATGGCATTATACAATATTTACACTCTGTTCATTCAGTTTCTACGATGGATTGAGCAAAACTAAACAACGAGCGTTGGAACGCACATTAAACGAAGCGGTCAGAGAAGCGATGAATGACGAGACTTTCCGAAAAGTACAAAGACTTAGTTACGGGCAACACGGACCGGAAGAGGTACTGCAATATTCTTAATATAATTTGGATTTTCAAGTACTATAAATTTGCTTTATAATATTTAAATCATTATTTGAAATATATATTTCTCATAATTAAAAAAAATATTGCAGATTGAATCTCGATTTGGTCTTCAGAATCGAAGAAACGTAAAGAAAGGCGACAGTGTCGAGGAGATAGTAAGCAGAGATCTCCGCTCGCACAAAGGTTTAACTAATTCTGGCAATACGAGCGAAGACTTAGCCGCGTTGGACCGTTTAATTACGTATCTTCTGAGCCCAAATAATCCCCCTAATAGCAATTTAGATTCGTGGAGACGTTCTCATCGAGCTAGTTCACGAGGATACAGACAGTTACGTGGCAATGCTGCCGATCTCGCCGAAACTGGTGATGTTGGCACAACGCCTCTTTGAGCATAAATTAATATCTAAACAAAAATCCCAAAACATTGTAAAACTAGCAATATAATAACAAGTTTTTAATTTAAAAGCGATAAATATATATAAAAAAGCGATAAATAAATTCTCTGTAAAATACAACCTGTAAACAAGGATGCAATACATATAAATGCTGATATAACACACTTTTTATTAAATATATGACAGATTATTTTAATATCTGTATCACAATGTACACAACGTAGCGAATATATATATATAAATATATATATATATATATATATAAGTACTTTAGAGATCTATACCTATTTAATCATCGGATGGCTCGGTGCCAAAGTATCTATCGCCAAAATTGCCGATGCCAGGTAATACATAGAACTTTTCGTTTATCTCAGGATCAAGTGCTGAAGTGACGATCTTTACTCGAGGGAAGGCGTACGCAATAGAGTGCACGCCGGATTCCGCCATCAGTAAAGATGCCAACAACACATTTTCCTCAGCAACATCATGATCTAATAGCACCCTGATCGCCATGATTGCGGCGGCACCGGTCGCAACAGTAGCATCCATTAATATTACCCTATAGTCTTTGATGTCCTTTGGTAATCGAAGGTAATACAACTATGTGCGGGAAATTAAATATATTACGATTGGTGAGAAAATTTAAAGAAAATTGTTTTACGTAAAAGAAAAGTTTACATGAATACTTACTTCGGGCTCGCCAGTCTGTTGATTAGTCTGAATAAGAATCTTTCCTATGCGTATGTCCTTACATACGTCCCGAACAGCCTGTTCCATAGTTTCGCCGGCACGCAATATCGACACGCCGCATATCTTATCTGTTGCACCCCGCTTGCCGCTGTACAGCACTCCTTGTGGTGTTTCGACGGTTACATCCTTCACATAAAAAAAACAATATGCTGTGATATGCCAACCTCTCTTTAATACATAGATATCAATTTAACAGCAAATTGAATATTTATTAATGAGCACAATGTGCGTCATAAATAATCTAATTGATCAAAGTTCACTTCTCTTATAAGTAACAAAAAAAAAAGAATAAAATGCACGTGTATATTTACCTCAAAAGGCAATAGAGACAATGCATATTCGATGACCAGACGAATCAATCGTTTAGAGTAAAAAATAAATTCGTCTCTATACGTGTCCTTGTTACGTATAAATGTATGAAGACCCTTTATCTGTGGTGTGTCTGGAAGTAAGTATAATGATGAAGGCAACGGCTGACCAATGTACGAGTGCGCCAACTTCTCCCTCAATTTGAAACCTCTCTAAAAGTGACACATACAAATCGATAGCACTGATAATAATTTTATAAACAATGTTATGTCAAATAAGGCTAAATAAAAGCTGGCAATTTACCAATTGAAGTTGAGTATGAACGTGTTGTACAATGAGTTCTATGGCTACTTCGTTATCTCCTCCGCGCGGTACAATGATATCTGCATGAACCATAAGAGGCGCTATATAATAATAAAACGACGGCTGAACATGTTGCATATACTGTTTCAATACACCCTCCAGATCTCTGCCTCTTTGTGAAATATCCCTCTTCAAACGTCTGGCTAGTCTGACATCCGCATCGGTATCGACGAAAACTTTCATGTCACACATCTTATGAAACATTTGTTTTGTTACTTTCAATCTTTTACGTTATGCAATCTTTAATATCTTTTTATTTGCTTACTTTCAATACGTCGACGTTGTAGAAAGTTAGTATTCCTTCAAAGATAATGACGTTGGCACCATACATGGTTTTCTACCAAACAAAAGAGGAAATAACTATAAATTGCATTGATTATTTGCACACAGAACAAAAAAAATAGCAACGAGTATGTCAACTTACCGTTCTGCTTTCCCTACGATGTGTTACAAAATTATAAATAGGAACTTCTATCATGCGTCCTTCCTTCAATCGCTGCACTGTAGTCTTGAGGAGTTCGAAATCGAACGCATCAGGGTGATCGAAGTTGTACTCATTGCGCGCAGCCATCTCATGCTGCTTCTCGTTTAACACCTGTGTTCGATGTCTATTACATTATCAAATTATTTTTTATACTAGTGATAAACATGCTAAATTGAGTGAATATAAAGATATTTTCACTAAATTCTATTGATTAGAATGTTTAACGTACTTTATAAAAGGAGTCCATACTGAGGAGAGTCACCCATGGTACATCTAGAGATTCTATAATTTTAGTTGCAACTGTTGTTTTCCCAGAAGCACTGCCACCACAGATACCTATTGCACAAAATATCTTTTAATAATACAAATAAAAAAAATATTTATTTATTTTATATAAATAATTGATATTATATATGAAACAATTAAAAATTAATAATAATTAACAATAAAAATGCCTATACCAACCAATTACAAAAGGTTCTACTTGTTGACCAGCTGAATTGTACCAAGGAGGTCTACCAGCTGTATAAATGGTTCGTGTTTTGCTTCTCAGGATGGATTCTGCAGATGTCTTCTTACTCGATTGTGACATACTGGTAGTGCGTTGTCTACGTGATCTTGGAGATTTTTGTGAACCTATAACAATTATATAATAGATTTTTCTTTGCTCTTTTAAATTTTTGAGAGATTTTTATATAATCAATATTTCTTTCTCAAACATATTAATATAGTGATACATGTATTTAATTTCTATTTTATATACTGTGAGAAATAAACAATAAAAAGATTTAACAATTATAATTATCAGGATTAAAGAAATAGGATTAAAAAGAGGAGAAGGGTTTTCTATACTTCTATCCAGTCTTCATTATGAATTCATTAAGGGATTTGTGGCATTTGATTGTTTGCATCTTCTCTTACAAGTGCAATTTCATAGGACCACTAAGTTTGTAACCAATCCATCTGTATGGGACTTTAAAAATACGACACATTAATTATACAATACACAAAAAAATCTATTTTTATTTCATTAAGATAAATTTCATTAAAATCACTCATTTACTGATAAGATTGATCAGCTGATGTAATATCAACAAATTATAACTTCGATTTTTGTCAAGATATCATTTCGTTATCAACATATATCTAAATCAATCTTATAAATTGACATATATAAATCCAAAAAAAGTCTGTAGAAAATGTTTAATTTTATCTCACAAATTCCACAAGTAAAATAAAAATCATCGACAACATATATGTAAGATCACATGGAATTCACATGGCATCCAGCCATGTTTAACTTGTCGAAGAAGGGATAATCAGACCTGAAGGCACATAAGAAAATTGATCCAAATGAATTTACCTGTGGACGGTGGACGTGGAGATTGCGGTGTCGGAGTGCTGACGTCGGAGGGCCTGTAGTGTTCGGCATCCTCGCACAACTCGTCCGCGAGGAAGATCTCGCGATCGTCCAGGCACACGTCGCCGTCGTCGCTGCGGAGAAAATTTCCACGATAAGAAAACATATGTATGTCTGTCTACCGTTTGAGCGAATGCAACAACAAGCTCTCGAACTACCCTACCTCTCGGAACTCGCTGAACTGGGTGGCTCGAACGGATGCTGCACCTTAGCTGCCATACTCCGTCGACTCCGATGACTCTCGGGGACCCGTCACCTTCTGACGACGTCAACGTCAACGTGCACGATCGCTGGCGATCTACTACGTCGTTCGTGAGCGCGACACTGCGAATGGGACACGTTTAATGCAGCGAACACGCGGTAACGCACAGTATCACGTACAGTGTCATTTCCTAGATCGTGGGAAAAATCCCCACCACTCCGTCATCTCGATGCATTTCACGCATGCTTGCAAACGCGCGCAACCGACCACGTGACTCTATGCTTTGCCAACAAAATTGTCAACATACGACATGTTACGTTTCAAAATGCATAAATGTATACATCAATCTTTCTTGTTTTTTCTTACATATACGTGTAATGACGACTGATAAAGATTTCAAAAAAGAGATCATGCTTGCGTACGTATTGATAAACGAGATTAAATCAATAAAACTTTGGTATTTTACGTGCGTGTTCGTTACCATATTTTCCATTTTTGTTACTTCCGTAGATATTATCTGGGCAGCATTTGTTATCTAGGAACTTCCTCTTCCACATGATAATATTCCAAGCGATATTCGGCCTGAAATATCCAGCGTTTATAACCTGCAATAAAAAAACAGTAAAATGTAATCAAAAATTATATTAAACCAAGCAAATTGAAATAGATATAATTTCCGAAAGATATAGCGTACAATTTTGCTTATTTTCAATCAAATATAAATAATAATTCTGCATCTTAATCAAATATAATACAATGAAAAAAGCACTCGCGAGAATCTCCCCGGTAACGAAAGGGTTGCGTTCCAAAATTTCCTCCTCGGAGTAAAGTTCGATCGACCAATCAGCGCGAAAGAAAAAAAATACTTCGCCCAGATTGGTCGATCAAATCGTGCGCTCCAAGAGGGAATTTAATTTTGAAACGACCAAGCGGGCTTCTGTCAGAAACCATATACAGGCTCCTACGTAGAACAATATATTTTTAATATCACATTCTTATTCCATCCATAGAAGCCTGTGCGAGAGAACTCGACGCAGTGTCACGTCATGCACTTTTATCCAGCCGGTAACACTGGACCGCTCGATCCGGCCGAGTAGCGCGCGTACACAAGTGCACGTAGAGAGAGAGACAGAGTGAAGCAGGCGAGAGAAGGAGAAGGCAAAGTTACCCCGAGTCTACCCTCGATGGCTTCTGCGTCGTGTTGACTCGGTCGCGTGACGTCGCGCCGTCTTTTAATAGTACGCCGCCTCCTCTACGACCGGTTCGCCCGTGCACGACACAGAAGAGAGGATATACGCGCACGGCTCTCTCTCGTCCGGAGAGACGCGCCCTCGTTCGACCTTGGGCGGCTATAACCGGTGCGTGACGCTCGATGCGGAGAGTCATCGTCGCTGCTGATCGCTGAAGAGGCTCCTCTATTTACCTCCCTCTCGGCGCCGTCGAACTCCTAGACGCGTAATAACCGCGGCGAAATGGCGAAGAAGACGTACGATCTGCTCTTCAAGCTGCTCCTCATCGGCGACTCCGGCGTCGGCAAGACCTGCATACTCTTCCGCTTCTCGGACGATGCCTTCTCCACGACGTTCATTTCTACGATAGGTGAGAGAGAGAGAGAGAGAGAGATTAAAAAATATAGATATGAAAGTATGATAATTTATATGGATACGTGTATATATATTTGTACATGTGTATGGATAGAAAGACCGGGAATCGTGAATTCCTCCGTTGACGACTTGCGGATGATTAGGTTAGAAAACGCGGTTATCGTTGAAAAAAAAAAGCAGTCGTCACGCCTCATTCTGTTAAATCAAACGCGATAAAGCCGATCGCTACTTTGTTTTGTGTGCAAAAGTTTATGCGTGTATATATATTCACGTATGAACGTCAATCAGGATGCAATTACGAGCGTGTTTTCTCGTAAAAAAGTGATCATTGTACTTTGCTTTCACGAGATTTCACTGATACATGTATCAATTTAACAACGTCAATTACGACGCTTTAATGTATATTCTGCAAAAGAGTTCTTTTATAAGTATTTTTTTTATTTTATATAATTATATAATATTTTTTATATATTTAATTAAAAGTTGACAGAACATATAGATTAAATATATATATATATATATATATACATATAAATAAAACTATACATACACATATAAATATATATATACATAGATATAATTTCTTGAAATTCTATAGACAAATGTTTTATATCTTTTTTTAAATTTGTGTAATGTAAAATTTTTTTTTCTTTTTATAGGTATTGATTTTAAAATCAAGACAGTGGAATTAAGAGGAAAGAAAATCAAATTACAGATATGGTGAGTTTTATATATACAGTCATATACATATATATATATATATATATATATACTTAAAAAGAAATCAATGTATTGATGTATATATATTTGCAGGGACACAGCTGGACAAGAAAGATTTCACACTATTACGACATCATATTATAGAGGTGCTATGGGAATTATGCTGGTCTACGATATTACTAACGAAAAAACATTTGAAAATATTGTGAAGTGGTTGAGAAATATTGATGAAGTAAATATATAACTTATTACATATGTATAATATTTTAGCATATGTTATGTTTAAAACAAACAATAATTTTAACTATAAATATTTCCTGCAGCATGCAAACGAAGATGTGGAGAAAATGATATTAGGAAATAAGAGTGATATGGAAGAAAAACGTGTGGTCAGCACTGAAAAAGGAGAAGCGGTAAATACTTTTAATTATTACATACATATTTTAATATATTATGATAAAACAATATGGTAAAATTAATCGATTATCAAAAATACAAGGTATAGTTTCAATAAATGAAATTTTCTCATTTACAGATAGCAAGAGAACATGGCATTAGATTTATGGAGACGTCTGCGAAAGCAAATATTAATATCGATCGAGCATTTAGTGAGCTAGCAGAAGCAATATTGGACAAAACACACGGCAAGGAACCACAAGATGCACCCGACAGAGTGACGGTTGATCGAAGAGTAGAAAGAAGTTCGAATCGGTGCTGCTAATTTTATATATTATTTATTTTAACGGTGCATGATGAACTATATATCAGCTCGTGCCACACTTGGGATAGAGTTCTTAATAGATTTAGAGCATAATTTAAAGCATAATAATATACTTAAACATTTCAAGACACTGCCTGATCAGATGTAATCCAATCTCACTTTTGCTCTGGTAAAAACACATTTTTCTATGCTGCAATCAAAACAGACATTGGTAAAAAACATTATTTGATCCAATATATTTGAAAGTTTATGTATTATATTCCTAATATTTGAAAATTGTATTTCGTATTCTGTATTAAAAAATTCTTGTGTAATTATATTTACACAAGTGTCAACAAATTTTAAACAATTGCTCCTTTTCATGCATATATTATGGATTTATATCTATAATATACAACTTGAAATTTCATTAGTTTACATGAATGACGAAACATGTTTGCATAAACATGGAAGTTTTTGTAATGAACCTTCATGTTTCATGTGAAACCACCATTGCATTGTTGCACGAACAAAGAGAACTAGGACATATTGTTTGTTACGAGGCTGCAATTTGTTACCATGTTGAGTGATGTGAGTATGAGAGTGTCAGCTTTGATCTTGATAAATCTTTTTAGACATTAAAAGCTTTCCTCCATGGATAATTGCACCAAACACGTGCTTATTTGTATATTAAGTTAAGGTGAAAAAGTTTAAAACCAAAAGCTTATACAGTTTTGTGTACGGCCGATTTACTATAAATATAAATATCCACAATTTCGATATTATTTTGTTGTTATTTCCTAAAAACACACATATGAATCTTGCATGAGATATTTTTAAATGCAAAAATTAGATATATAAATGTCAATTATATGTCAACTATTTATATATAAAAAATTCTAAAAATATAAGATTTAAATTATAAATAACCTATATTTTTGTATATATGTATTATTGATAAAAATAATCAGCAATAATCATCTAATTATTTCTTCTGTATATCGGAAGATATAAACAGGATTAGTGTGCATTACATAATATTACACAAGACCTGAAATTTTATATTTTCCTGCATGGGAATATATTAACATATTTATTAGAAACGAATATATAGTACACATTAAATATAGAATTGCAATATACATTATTATTTGAAATCAGAAAGAAGAGATCAGAAATACTGGAGAATAATTTTTATTTAAATATGAATAAAGAAAACACAAGTAATTTTCTAAATATATGTGTATATATATATGTATATGGGCAACCACAGGTACATACAAGCATCTTTCTCAGGGTTGCTTCTGGAATTACAGTCGGGTCCAGATAACATAATACTACAACTAATTAATGCTCGGTGTTTTAATCACATTAATAGACATATATAGAATATATTTATAATATTATATTATAATAGTATAATATAATATTAAATTATATTAATAAAGTATTTATATATATATAATTACATGTATATATTTATCAATCACATTAGAAAATCCATGTTAATCTTTCAAAAAATAAAAATAAAAAAAATAATTTAACGGTTGTGTTTATAATAAATGATTCTGATGATAATTACGTATGCCAAAGAAAATAATATAAATAAAGAAATAAAATTATTACATTATTTATGATAATAATAATAATAATAATAATAATAATATTAACATATGCTATTGTGTTAGAGCAATTAATAAGAATTTGGTGTCATACCCAATAAGGCAATAGGAAACACTTTGTTATATTATGCCTTATAGAACTAGACAGGAGACTTTGAAATCCAAGCGTGCTGTTTGTACATACACATTAATCTTCGAAAATTTGTAAAAGCTATGTCTGTCCATAGAAATTAAAGTCTTGCCAATATTATACTTCTTTAAATGTATAATTCTCATTATTTGCTCGCCTACGATGCACTCTCAGGACGATAACTGCAGAGAGCCAGAGCAGGACGGCAATAAGTAAAAGCTGGTTGTGTATTTTGTAGTAGTTATAACACAAGTTAAAGTAGAAAGAGAATTGACAGCAATTAATCTCGCGAAGCACCAATAATAGTCAGAATGTAGATAAAAATGTTAACAACATCTAGATACAAGCTCAACGCGGCAAAGATATATTCCTCCGGCGAAACTGAATATTTATGCTTTCCACCTATCATCATTTGCGTGTCATAAACCAGATATAAAGAGAATATTAATGCACCACATGACGCATAAATCAAAGTCATAGTTTTTCCAGGCCAGATCATCGCGATTATACCGAAAATAAGTAAGACCAGGACAGCGACAAACAGAGCACTGTGTAACCCTGTAAAATCAATTTTTGTTTGAAATGCAAATATTGTTAATCCTAGACAAACCGCTGCTGTAATTCCGACAGCTAACATAACCTGTAAAAGTATTACAGATATCAATAAAATTTCTTACAATTTAATATAATGTAATAAAAAAAATTATTCGCACATATTTACAAGTCGGAATCAATATTACAATATTAAAATCTTACTTCGTCCTTCTTGTAAGTTGAAGCAGCTATAGCCAGCAGGAAAGCCTCTGCCAGTGTAAATAGAAACAGGAATATAAAGTTCATCGGGGCCTTACGTCTTACATTGGTACAGCAAGCCATACATATAAGCAAGACAATTGTTAAAGCAAAGGCGATCCAAAACAATTCTGTATGTCTCATGACCCATAGCTGTGTTGGTCTATGATAGAGGAACAAACAAATCATCCCGAGTGTGATGAGTAACTGGCACATCAGGATACTGTATACTTTCCTATAAAAGAAAAATATATATTTATATTTTATTATAAATTACATGTAGAGCATGTTATTAAAAATTTTAGAAGCCATAAAATTTACCTGATGAAGCCATTTCTAATTGTTTTGTCATTAAACTCAAATCCTTTGACCTCATCCTGCAGAGGATCTTCTCCATATCCAGATCCGTACATTCCTGAGTGAACTGGTGGTACCGCTCCAAATCCTGAACCAATTGGTGGTGCTTCACCGTAGGGTGGAGCACCTGGTGGAGGTATAAATCCTGGAGCTATTTAAAAATATTAATGCTCAATGAATAATGTTATATTGTTAAATTGCTTAGCATTTATATGTTATATTTACCTGGTGGATTTCCAGCGGTATAAGGTGGTGGGTATCCTGGATTTTGAGGATACGGGTAGCCCTCTTGCGGTGGTGGATACCCAGGATTTTGTGGAGGATATGGACCTGCACAATCAAATTCGAAAAACATAGATATCAACGTTGCAATATCATATTCATTTAACCTTGATAAGCAGTAGCAACTTGAAGAACTCTGTGCACTAACAGCAGCCACTACTTTTTACATAGTGCTTTTGTAAGATTAAGTTTCCATATGGTTGTGCAGTAAATTGGCTTCTCTTGAAGACACTAATTATATTTAATATAATTTGCTGAAATATATGTATATTTGTGAATATACTATACAAACTATATAATCTTAATGAGATGATGTCAATCAGTATTTATTTTTCTAACACAATATTTGCATATATATTAACTCACTAACAATTTTCTTATTCTCTCAAGTGTCAATTAAAAATAATCATTATATTAACAAAGTGCTTTAAAATGTATAGAATAATATACCCTTTTTAAGCAAGTGCTATGATGCTAACTGCTGATTGAATAATCAGTATAGATTCAGAATAATAAAAAGAAATATAATAGAAAATATATTAAAAACAGAAGGAAAAAGAGAGATCAGAACCTTGTCCTGGATAGAATCCCGCACCAGGTGCTTGCCAAGTTGTCATCTTTTGGTTTTGTTTTAGCTGAAAAAGAACCTATCATTATATATATAAATTAAAGAGAAATCTCTTTTACAAAAAAATGTCAATAAAACTGTGTTAATATCAACATTATTAGAAATATTTTTAAAAATCTTTGAAAAACAATTATCCTGTATCTCTCATTCTTTTTCTTATGTTAAATTTACATGTATCGTTAAACAAGAATAAAAAAATAAAAGAAAATAAAAAGAAATTATTGCAATAAAAACAATCATTTAGATATAAACATATTAATCATATTAAAGTGTATATTTTACAAATTTATTCTTATGAGAATATTTGTGGCAATTTACATGCTTGGAATTCTAAGCTTTCTAACTTATAAATAATATTATATTTTTTGATATTTTTTCCTACATAAAAAATACATTATAAATACATTATAAACAACAAAATAGATACAATGTTAAATACATCATAGAATTAATGTCCCACACTTTTGCATTCAATGAATCATAGGTTAACACCTGAAAAAATATATACTTGATAATGAAGGACTATTTTGGCTCATGCATAACTATATAGGCTACAAAAAATCTCACTGTCTTATATTCAGATTTATTTTTTCACTATTATCTCATAGCTTTGAATTTTCTTTCGAATAACTGATCCAGTTGTTAATAATTAAAAAATTCGAAAATTAATCATTTCTAATTGAATAAGAACAATATGTTAATTAATTTAGCAACTACGTTATTATCTCTTATAAGGATAGAAAAAATACATTTTAATATGCAAAAGCGCAGATATTGTCTATCGAATAAATAATTTTAATGCACAGTAATATGCATTACACATATATCATCTACACATTTATAATTTTATCTACAAAAACAAAGGAAAAAAATAAACTTGCACTGCACATTATAAAATCATTAAATTAATCAACATATGTATCAATTATATAGAGTATTACTTTGTAGCAAGCAATTACGTTAATATTTAGTAGTCGTAAAACAGAATATGCAATTATCAAATACTTTTCAACTCTTACAACACATTTGATGCATACTTTTAATGCATGTAAAATTCTTCATTTTTTCTGTCAATAATTAAATAAGGAATATATAACGTCATATTCTTGAAACACGATATCTTGTTGCGTCTGTCTGTAAAATTAATAATAATCTGAATCTATCTCGTTAAAATTTTCCTTGGAAAAATACTTGGGTGTGTGTGTATGTTTGCGCACACTTACACGCCTACGTTTTCACATCTACATACATATGTTCGTAAATATATATATATATGGTATATATCATATATATGTATGCGTAAATGATACGTCATGTTATTTAATCACGATAAAACATGAGGATGTAGAACAGTAGATGCGATGACACGATATGGAAAAGAATAATTAAGTAAACAATACCTCTCCCAAAAAATGTAAAAATGTTGAATGTATTGAATTTCGAACGCGATGACACGCCGCTCTTTTCTAATATATTCTTTTTTACGACACTGCAAGGTCACTCGTATTATCGAACCGCGGAAATGTATCCCCGAGATTATAGTCCTCCCCTTCCCACCCACAAGGCGATGACTAACGTAAGAAAACAGCGCTTTCTCCTGGAACCTTGCTGCGTGCAATGTCACCGAGTGCGCGAACGACAAACTCGCGTTGCAATTATACTTTTACTACAACGTGCGAAATCGCGAGCTCATTCACGCGAGCGAAGGAACGCGATACGTCACCCGTTCTTTCTGGGAATAGCCGCAATCGATACACGCGTATCCTCGAATATTGCAATGCGTTGCATGAGTTATTTACCTCGTCACTTTGCACAGGGGCCTCGACGATCGGCTCAGCGGCACCGTAATATTGCGCAGCGCAAGAAAAAGCACACCTCTGTTTATTCTCGCCTCGACCGCGAACGACGCAATCACGCGCAACACTTGGCGCGAACGCGTTACGTTATACACGACACCCGCGATAAGTATCCGGCTATATACCCGTCGACTGAAGTTGCACCGCTACGTCGCCGAATATCCGAACGATGTGGAGCGGGCCGAGCTTTCTGGGGAGTGCCAGTGCTGGCGCCTGCGCGTTCGCGTGTCTTCTGTCACATCTCGCGAATTATCGCGCGCGAAAATCCCCGACAATTATTTCGGTGATTTTTTTCGATGACGTCATTCGGAAAACAAGACACCCGCGCGCGAAATTCGAATTTACATACTTAATTACACGTGACATTTTTAATTTAATATAAATTTGATTTGTATAAATTGATAAAAACATTTTTTTCAATTATAACAATTGGGGCAAAATTGAGATGAAATATATATTCATAAATAATTTATCATGAAGTCAATGTTTTTGACTAGAGTATTAGAATAGCATCACCCAATCAGCGAATCCCTGACAAAGAGGTAGAGGGAGGGAAGTCTAAACTCTTTATATTCTTAACCTATAATATTCAATTTATTCCACGTGTGTAATAGTTATGATTATGTTAATAATAATATAATTTAGAAATTATGGCTTCATATCGTATACATAATATAAGATTTTACACTCTGGAACCGAAATCCGTGACTTGTTTGTGTCACGAACCAAAAACGAAAAAATTAGCTCTTGCAAGGTTAGTTGACATTTATTACTATATAATATTTATATAATAAAAACGCATTTTAATGTGCAAATATTTATTCTAATCATTTTTCTAATTTTTTCTTTTCTTTTGAAGGAACGATAATTCCATAGAAATCTGGAATGTTGAAAATGCGTCGTTTATCGAATGTACTATAGCCGGTCACGGCGAGAATTCAGTGGAAAGTATACTCTGGATTGGTCCCAGACTGTTCTCGACTGGATTACAAGGTGCCCTGGTAGAATATGACTTAATGACATTGAGAATCAAATATGAAGTTATGGTGGTTGGAGGCGCAGCTTGGTGCATGGATGTGAATCATGAGAAAACTCACTTGGCTATTGGCACAGAGGATGGATACATCAATACTTTCACTGTACATAAGGATAAATTGATTTTTGAAAAAATATTTGATAAGCAGAATGGAAGAATTTTGTGCATTAAATGGGATAATACTGGCGAGATGATTTATACAGGTTCCATAGACACTATTCGAGTATGGAGTGCCATATCTGGACATGCGATTCATAAAATGACAACTTCCAGATCTAATGTCAGGAAAAGTACAATAGTTTGGTGCCTTGCGGTCACTGATGACAACATAATTATTTCTGGTGACTCACAGGGCTTTTTATGCTTTTGGGATCCTCACATGGGAGTATTGATAGAGTCTCATGAAAGTCATACAGCTGATATATTAGCCATCACTTTGTCACACGATATGAATGTTGTATATTGCGCAGGCGTGGATCCAGTTGTAAGGAGTTTTTGCAAGGTTATTCAAAAATCAAGTGGAAAGTTTCAATGGGTAAAAGGAATCGAGAGGAGATTACATATTCATGATGTCAGAGCACTTGCAGAAGCCAATGGAAAACTCTATTCAGCTGGAGTAGACGGGTACCTCGCTGTATCGAGTTATCCACCAAAAGTTCTTGTAAAATATCCTCCATTACTGCAATCACCCTGTGCTATAATGTGTCGAAAATCTAGATGCATTTTGTTGCGATACAAAAATTATCTGGAGCTATGGAGACTCGGTTCAATTACTAAAGATCCCCCGAATTAGTACGCTCATCTATGTTACATCAATTGGATGAAGAACCTATGAAACTATTACAATTACAAACAAAGGGTGATGAAAGCATAATCTCTTGTGCTATTAATAAAGATTCCAAAACAATCGTGTATTCGACGGACACTCATGTCAGAGTTTTCAACTTTGACGTGGTCGAGGGAGACGCCCAATTGTCTAGAAATGATATGGATCTATCTATGAACCGAATACAAAAGATGCTGTTTAGTCCGAATGGTAAATTATTCATTACTATTAACAATGATGGCAATGAAAATACCGTGACGCTATTTAAAGTGGATAAGAAGAGTTTGAGATTAATCGGTTCATTCCACACGACAAACGAGTTAATTACAAATGTTGGTCAGGTCTGCTTCTCTCCGGACAGCAAATATCTCATATGCACAGACCGACAATGCGGAATCGCTGTGTATTTTATCGGCAATGGTGTAACAGCAGAATCTCTAAAGTCGTGGCGATTACCTAAATACAGTTGCCCAGCAACAGCAATTGCTGTGCAAAAAGACACACTCAATCTGGTCATAGTATATTCTGATCATAAGGTAAGATTATAACATATCACATATATATGATTCAATAATTTTTAAATCGCCTAATATGCAGATTTTTCTCTTCGAGTCTAATATAGTGCATTACTGTAAAATATACAATATTAATTATGCTATTAAAAAGTTTACAATTTATACATATATGCTATTTTTATAGAGATTTTACACATTGCTTTTATTCCTGTTATTGAATTATCTATTTATATAGACTTTATGAAATCTTCTGTTATAGTTCATCATCTTGGTATTAATGGGCAATATTAACTTTAAGTTATTATGAGATATAAATACAATCTAAATTGAGAATTGAAAATGATAATCTTGAAATTAATATCATAAAATGAGCACAGCGCTAATGTTCCTCTCAAAATGTTTCAAAGTGTTCAGATGCTCTTATCGATGCTAATATAAATAATAATTATTTTTCAGATCATCGAATACAATATTCCTACGAGACGGTACACAACGTTCTCCAATAATTTGCAAAATTGTTTGCCAAAACACTGGTTAGCACGTCCATTCCCGATAACAAATATTATATTTGATTCGCACAACGAGAATATTATAATCATGCAGGATGATTCAAGCGTCTATGTTATCAATAAAAATAGCGAATTGCCAGAAAAAGAAGCAAAGATAGCAAAGCGTGAAAATGGAGAGATTACAGAAGACAGCAATTCAATCTCTAGCTTACAATCTCAACATGCATTTCAAGTTGTCAAGAAGTACAAGGTAAAGTTGTCAATGGAAAAAATATTTTAAATAATTAAATAAGAAGGAAAGAAAACATCTCATAATTTTATTATTTGCAGCATCTTGTGTATTTAAATTGGTTAAATGAGGAAGAACTGATTGCGGTTGAGGTGAATCCAACTTCGTTATTAGAGAAATTACCACCTACACTAAAACAAAAATTCTTTGGCGTGTAAATATGAAATAATCATCTAAGAATATCAAGAAATAGACGCCTTTCAAGAAATAAATGATATCAAGAGTATTTTATTAATACTAATAAATAAATAAATTTCTCGTATTATATTTCTATGTTATAATTAGAGTTCGCTCTATTTCGACCATGCATTTTGACCGATATTTTATAGTATTATTTTTATCATCGGACAATTTTCTATGTATGTCAAATAAATTATTGCGATTCCTTATTTTAACACACTTTTAATTATGTTCAAATTTTAAAAATTTATATATTACATATTCTAAAATTATAATTTTTATTATTTCTAATATCTATTGAATTATTTAATTTTTTAGTATCACGAGAAATAATGTAAATATAATATAATGATAATATTTATAATTATTTTTTATAAATATAAAATAATGTTAAATATCTTTTTATCATTATTACAAATTTAGGAATCTATGTCACTCGTATTTTCCTATTTTTTTCATATATATATATATATATATATATATATATATATATATATACATATATATTTTTTTTCTCTTAGAAAAATAAACCATGGGAAACAGGTAATTATCGTTGCGTACGTATATTTTTATTGTACTGATTATATTTTTATATAATAATTCGTGTTATGCGCTAATCTTTTTCTTTATTGAAGTTGGCTGCTATTCTACAGTAGTCTCGATCGTTTCGATATTTCGAGAATCGCAATTTGCGTCATATCGATAGTCTGGCAGCCATCTTAGTCCGTACGTGCCGCGGCGACCGTTTGGTCGCATTCAAAACCGCTCCGTATTTATCGCGAGTGTTAGTGTCTAAAAGTGAATCTTGTGCTTGAATAATTATCGCGAATATCTCTCGTAAAGTGTCGGACATACATTGAAGCGGTATTAAACCGTGTGACATCGTTATTACAATATGGGCCCCTCTGAAATCGCACTGTCGCATACCTCACTTTTTCTCTTCGACATAAATTATGGGAAATAGGTGCAGAATTACCATCTCGTATGTATATCTTTATTCTCTAATTGATTGCATTGATTTTTGTGTAATAATTCGTTACATATTTCGACCATTTTCTGATATTTGTGAATGTCTCGATCAATTTCAATCAATTTCTTTATTTTTAGGGAATCAGCCATTTTATGTACGTATATATGTGTCGAGAGTATTTTTCAATCGAAGAATAATACGACACCGAAGTCCTAACATGACTTACAACGTATAATTACTTGTCACATACACGTGTCAGTCATATGCGGCGTACGCTTTGATGTCGGATTGTGCGGCATACGCTTTGATGTCAGATTGGAGTTGCGCATGCAGTTTCATCCTCTCTATTCCGATTTACGACTTGGCGACCTTGGCGTACCCGTTTCGAATCTCGCATCAATTATCAGTTATCATATCATATCGGAAGAAAAGACAGCAGCTCGAGTTATTTCGTGTGTCTTTGTATCATTTTTCGAGTGATAGTAGTAAGTATTATGAGATACTAAACGCGATTGTCAAGCCACATTGATTAATTAATTCCTGTAATTACATATTCATCTAATTAAGTCAATTTATGTGATTATGTGAGCTGCTCAAAATAAGATTTTCATTTTCATATCTTTTCAATCATTAATTAACAAAAGTCATAAAACGAATCGACTTTGAGTCATGTAACATTATGATGTATTTTAATAAGTATATTGTAGTTGTATTTAATCATGTGTTTTAATTACTTATATATTATATTTATATAAATTACTTATATACTTACATATATATTATATTTATATATTATATACGGTTAAAATTGTTTTAATACATTACTGATATATGTATAAACATTGAATTATTATTACGCAATTGTGTAAAAACAAGAAACAAAGAGCCACCAACACTTTTATTGATATAAATTATTGGTATAAATGTAACACTTCTATTGACATGTATAAATATTGAATTATTATTATGCAACTTGCATTATACATATAGCAATAGAAGTGTTACATTTATACATATATTAATAAAAATGTTGTGGCTCTTTGTTTCTTGTTATTACACAATTGCGTAATAATAATTCAATGTTTATATCAACAATGTATTAAAACAATTTTAACCATATATAATATAGTATAAATATAATATATAAGTAATATATATATATATATATATATATAAATACAAGTATAACATATCAGTAATTAAAAAATATATGATTAAATACAATGTATAATTAAAATGGCACACAATATAATTATTTTAATAATAATTATATAATTTTAATAATATATATATAATTATTTTAATACATTAGGTATTAATATATGTATAAACATTGAATTATTATTACACAATTGTGTAATAACAAGAAACAAAGAACCACTAACACTTAGTGATACAAATTATTGGTATAAATGTATAAGTATGTAACTTGCATTACACATATAGTAATAGAAGTGTTACATTAATACATATATTAATAAAAATGTGGCTCTTTGTTTCTTGTTATCACACAGTTGCGTAATAATAATTCAATATTTTTACATGTATCAATAATGTATTAAAACAATTTTAACCATATATAATATAGTATAAATATAATATATAAGAAAAAAAAAATATATATATATATATATAAAAATACAAGTATAACATATCGGTAATTAAAAAATATATGATTAAATACAACATATAGTTAAAATGCCACACAACTATAATATTTATTATAATCATTTTTCTAATTTTGTCTTTCTTTTTTAAAGGAACGATAACTTCAAAAATCTGCTTACAAGGATTACAAGATGCCGTGAATATGACTTAAGGACCTTAAGAATCAAATATGAAATTATGCTAATTGGAGGCATATCGTGATGAGTGGATGTAAATAATAAGAAACATACTTGACTATTGGCACAGAGGATGGATATACTTACTTAAATGCAGTTGCCTAGCGACGGCGATTGCTGTGCAAGAAGCCACGCTTAATTTAGTTATAGTCTGTCAAGGTGAGATTATAATATCACATGCATATTGAATAAGTTTTAAATCACCTATTACGTGAATTTTCTCTGTTTGAGTCTAACATAACATGCTATCATAATATATTTTACAATATTAATGATTAGGTATTAAAAATTCACAATTTACACATGTTATTGCAGCTTTATTTTTATATAGTTTCATATATAATGCTTTTATTCCTGTTATTGAATTATCCATTTATATGAATTTTATAAAATTTTCTGTTATACTCATCATTTTGATGTTAATGGATAATATTAACTTTTAAGATATATATTATGGGATATTATATTACAAAATCATAAAATCTAAATTGAAGATTGAAAATGACAATTTCAAAATTAATATCAAGAAATGGGCACAGTTCTAATGTTCTTCTCAATGTTCTAAAGTAATGCTCTTATTATTATTTATTACTATTAATATATAAAATATCTCTTAATAATCTCATTTATTTCTTGATAGATGTCTATTTCTTGGTGTTTTTAGCTATTCTTATTTTATAATATTTACATGTCAAAGAATTTTTGCTTTAGTGTTTATATGTGCAATATCTTCGATAACAAAATTGGATTTACCTTAACAGCAATTCTCCATCATTTAACCAATTTAAGTACAAATTTAAACACAAAGTGCTACAAATATTAAAATTATGAAATATTTTCTTTATAATATTCTTTATATTGAGTTATTTAAAATGTAAAATTATTATATATAAAATGTTTAATTATTTAGAATTAAGATGTTTTTATCAATGTTAATATAAACAATATTTGTTTTTCAGCTTGTTGAATATAATATTCCTTCGAGACAGTACAATTTTCTAATAATTTACAAAATAATTTTCTAAAACAATGGTTAAAACATTTATGGATAACTAATATTATATTTGATTTGCACAATGAGAATATTATAATCATGAAGGATGATTCATATATATATGTAGCAATAAAAATGTCAAATTCCCAGAAGAAGAAGCAAACATACCAAAGCATGAAAACGGAGGAAGTAGAGAGAAGACAACGATTCAATCTCTAGCTCACAATCTTATTGTTAGTATACATTCCAAATTGTCAAGAAATACAAAGTAGTTATCAACGTAGAGGTATCAAAGTCGAGTTATATAAAGTCATATAACGGAGAAAAAACATTTTAAATAATTATATAATAGAAAGAAAAGAAAATATGATTTTATTTTGCATTTTGTCTATTTAAATTGGTTAAATGTTGGAGAATTGCTGTTAAGGTGAATCCAACTTCATATCAGAGATATTTACCATCCACACTTAATGCATAAAATCTTTGGCATGTAAATATTATCGAATAATCATCTACGAATATCAAGAAATAGACATATATCATGAAATCAACGAAATTATCAAGATTTTATTAATATTAATAAATAAATTTCATGTATTATATTTTTAATATTGTGATTAGAGTATACTCTATTTCGATCGTACATTTTAAAATTCCAGTATTTTTTATCATCACACAATTTTGTATGTCAAATCAATTATTGTGATTCTTTATTTCGACACAATTTGAACTATATGTTCAATATATTTTTGAAATTTATATATTATATACTTGAAAATTTATTATATTTTGATCATTTTTAGTATCTTTGAAATATTGAATTTTTTATTTCTACGAGAAATAATTATAAATATTATTATCATCATATAATGTGCATAATATTAATTGGCTGAATTTCTATTATGCATATAATTTTAATTTGCCGTATTTATTTTATGTAAATAATTTAAATTCATCATTTCTATTATGTATTATGTAAATAATATTAATTGGCCGAATTTCTATTATGTATAATTTCAATTATTTACATAATAGAAATACGGCGAATTAAAATTATGTGCGTAATAGAAATTCAAGAATTAATATTGTTCATAATAAAAATTCGGCTAATTAAAATTATGTACACTTGCTGATTATATTATTTACTATTTACGCGTAGAAAACTCCCGCGCGAGGTAACACGTGAAATCGGCCGATTTTGACGTGACGTCACGACTCGCGACATACTTCAGCCAGCGCCGCCACTGATCAGTGGCAAGTCCAGCGGCGAAGGAGCAGGGTGTGCGTCGCGAGTGCTCCGCGTTTCGGCTGGATTTCGTGCGCGAGTAACGCGAAAAAACGGGAGTGCAAGTCCGGGAGTGTTGTGTTTTGGCGCGATGGACCGAATAATCTCGAAGGGCATCCAGGGGTCAACGGGGACCCGGGAGTCTCAGAGGATCGCGAATTGATAGACGAGGGGAAAGGGGAAGAACGTTCCGCCGTGATTTTCGCGCGTATTTCGGTGCTATTCGTTGGCTAGAGAGCATCGCGAGGATTCTTCATCGTTTCGAAAGATATCCCGGCGTCGACGAGTGTCCAGGAGCATCGCGAATCCGCGGAATTAGGAGTGCCCTAGTGCCGGAAAAAGTGTCCGAGAAGCGCGAATTCATTGAGATCGACAAAATTCAAATTGTGGAGGAATGGCGACCGTTGCTGGAGATACTGTGGTACCGAGACTATCCGCGTAAGAGTCGCTGGCGCGCAAGTGTCACTTCGCCATGACACCTCGTTCACTTCGCGATGTCACGGAGAGCCGCGGTGCGCCGCTGGGAGATGGCACCATAGATTTCTATGGATGTCACAAATTAATTTAAAGGTATTTCGATGCGTTTAATGTGATTAATATTTAGACGCTCGCTTTCCCGGAATAGGAAAAGTAATTTTGTCAACGGATATTTTGTTTTTATTCGCGAATGCGATATCGAACGTAATCGAGCGGGATCGAAAGTGCTTAATGCATTCACGAGTGATCTTATTTTTTTTTCGTATCGTCCGTTCATTTCGAAATGCATCTGTGTGTAGTGAAGTGTGATAAATAATTATTACAAATATAAAATAATAGAAAAAACAGTGCAGTGATTAGTGTGCCAAACCATATGGGATTATAGCAGAGCAGCAGAGGAACATTAAAGCGGATGCATTAAAGCAGAGAGGTTAGATAATCTACTCAACACAATGTGAGTTTATTTTTTGTTTGTTACATTGTTCGGAAAATAATAAAAAATTATATTGCGTTTACATATTATTTTAATTTAGAAATATAAAAAAATTTTTTGACATTAAAAATAAAATTATAGAAAATTTATATATATATTATTTTAATTAATGCTAGAATTGAAATTATTTTGTTAATAATGAAGTTAAGAAAATATTAATAAAGTAAAAAACGTAATTTTAACTGAATGTAGAAAATAAAAATAATATTTATTTGAAATTAAAGAAAATTTATTTATTGACGCAAATAAAATAATTAAAAATTTTGACAATGTCCAAAAGTTTATTAATCAATAAATATTAATTTACAAATTTAACGCTTATTTTATGATAAATGATAAGTTACATTAATTTTAACAATTGACAACAAATTAATTGTGTTCATTATTTTCTGAACAATCAAATTCACGTATCACTTTTAATTAAGTTTTGCTTATGTCTAAAATTTGATTAATTTATCTCTTTTCACATCTCTGTCGAATTTACGATACATTTTATATACAGCTATTTATTTAAAAAGCGAGTGGAAATAAATGTTTTAAATTTGACTCATGTACTTAACAATATTTATACTACCAGTGCACTTGATGTTGCTATTAAAATGTTCTGTATCTCTCTCTCTCTCTCTCTCTCTCTCTATAATTATATATCATATTGAGCTTTCTATAATAATTTATTAATGCAGATTACACGCAATCAAAATAATATTTGAAATATAAGATGTACAGCATTGTTGCTATAAGAATATTTAAATTACAAAATACTATTTGTTATTTTATAATTTAAATTAAATTTTCAAAATTATTTATACATTATAAAATAGAAAAATTATTTTATCGATTTAAAAAAATATGAAATAAGAAAAAATAAAAAATTTTCAGAGGAAATTTTATATTTAAAATATATTGTTATAATACTCTAAAAAAATAGAGCGAGAGAGGCATATATACAGTTTTTTTCGACTAATTATCTACGAAATGTAACATTTCTGCCACTCTCATTCGCAACTTTCATTTTTATTTGTTTGAGACACCGCGTGTAGGTGTCGAGAAAGAAAATGTTCGTTCTCAGAATAGCAGATGAAGAGAATTGACGTCGTTTGAATTTTTTGACACTCGTTAGAGTCATTGCTCGAGTTCTGCGATATTAAAAATTAACATTTAATCTATTTTTATAGAATAAATAATATATCACAAATTCGAGAGAAATTAAAAAAAGACAAATTAAAGAAGTTTTGAATTTGATTCTATTTCAATTTTCTGAAATCGTGAATGTCTTGCATTCGCAAATTAAACCTTTATTGTGAAATATCTAATTTGAATACAATATTGTATAATAACACTTTTGAATAAATATAATTAAGCTGAATATATATTATGTAAAAAATCTTTATAATTATTTAAATGCTTAAATGTAGAGCACTAAAATGTTTTTTTTATTTTCTGGGAGAGAATTACTGCAGTGACTTCTCTTTTCTTCAATTAACTAATATTAAAAACTAATATTAAGAAAAATAATACTAATATTAGGCAAAATGTATTTTTGGCAAGTTCTAAATTTTCAAAGTTAATATAAAATTGAGAAATAGCGCGCGTTTCCGTTGTTCTAGTATAATAAAATACGCATTTTGTGTGGTTAATGTCGGTAATGGTGTGTGCAAAATACCACACAGTACATAATCACCGTATTCTAATGATTATTAATTATTACGTGTGTGGTCATAATTAATTTTGTTTTTACGAAAATTCTTATGAATGTCATAAAGAAATAATAAAGGATAATCAGAGAAAAGAGAAAACCTTTATGCAGCATTAACTCTCAGTAGCGCAATTGTAAAGTGAGGATTTATAAATTATTTGTTACTTATTTTATCTGTAAAATCAATTTTTTATTTTACAATTCTTGTTCTTGCGATATTTTTGATTTACAATTTTGTTTTTGCGATATTTTTGATTTACAATTTTGTTTTTGCGATATTTTTGATTTACAATTTTGTTTTTGCGATATAGTGATTTATTTAATATTATTATTGCAATATAATGTATGTATGGAGTATGTTAGATTTTACTTTAAAATTTATAAAATATTTATTTTACATAATAAATATATATATATATATATATATATATATATATATATATATATATATTTAATTGTTTAGATTTATAATTATTTACATTTACATTATTTAACTAAGAATTAAATGAACTTTTCACAATACAACAAGGCTACTTGCCTTATTTTTCAAATCGTACAGACGAAATATTACGAAATTAATTTCTATTAAAATCTAACTATATGGGAGGAAAAATCGAATGGACGATTACATTCAAGCAATTTATCGATCTTGCATTGATGCAAATACATATAAATCGGTGTATTAGTATTAATAAAAAACAAATTATATACGATTTGCTATGCAGTTTACAAAATTTCGAATAATCCAAATCTTACTAATGTTTACTAATTAGCATTAAGTGCATGATTATTAAATTTCAATACAAATTTAAGTATATGCAATAACAATTAATAACATCACATCAGTAAGTGCAATTATTTTTTTTTTTTTCGTTTTATACTAAATGTTCCAAATTAAGTATATATATAAGAGAAACGATCTTAGATATACGAGATTTACGATAGCGTGACTGAACTTTCGATCCTAGTCACTCGAGTTGGTATCGGATAGCAGAAAAATGAAGAAGCGTCAGACCGGTAATGGGGGTGGGGGTGGAACCGAGAAGGGATATGCGGAAAAACTCAAGCGCGAGGACGTGCAAGCGCGATCTTAGTCGCTGTCAGAAAAACGAAAGAGGTAAAAAGAGGGAGAGAGCAATGAAAAAGAAAGAATAAGGAGAAACAGAGAAAGAGAGAGAAATAAGATGGGTTCGTGGGTGTAGAGACACGGGGGGTGCGCTGTAAATTACAAGCGGAGCGCCAAACCGCTATGGTCTCTCGGTGGCGCAGGGGTGTCTAGACGTATAGATAATGCCGGGCTGACTTGGTGCGGGGTAGACGCAAGCTAGACGGTCCCCGGTTGATCCAGTCAGCCGAACCAGCCAGCCAGCTACTACCCGAACCAGCCAGCCAGTCAGCCGGGTTGCGCTAGACACATCGACCATGTTCCGTTTCTCTTCGTTTCTCCCGTTTTCACTATCTAGCTATCTATCCGTGTCTCTTTTTCGCGTCCACCGCGATATCTACAAGGTGGTTCTGAATTAAAAACTTGTCAAACTTAACTAGAATATTCTTTTAAACAACACGTGCAATCGTGTTTTTCTCCGTGTAGCGAAAATTTGCTCGATAATTTTCATTGTCAATCCTTAATAGATATTATTTTTTGTTAGATTTTTTTAGTGCAATAAGATTCTTTTTTACGTGAGAATTTATTTGAAGAGAGAAGTTTCTTAAAATTTTATAAAATCTATAAGGAAATAATCGTATTATTTTATACATGTAACACTATATTTTTTACATTTATTACTGATTATGTAATTATATTACGAATCAATGTAGACACAAAATTTCTTACATTTCTCATGCTGTAATCACTAAATGTAAAAAAAATCTTACCCTATTGAAAATTAAACGCCATAATTTTGGTTCGATAATTAAGAGTATTGAATTACTAAAAAATAAAGAAAAAAATGTGATTAGAGAACACGCGTATAAAGTTATTACGGTTTAATTCGGAAGCACCCTGTATACGTACTAACTGCATCCTCGTCTTACTCGCCTATATATGCAGCCCAACCGGATTTCCCATCGTTCTCGTCGCGCCAGCCGGCTCACAGACGAGAACCTCCTCGCCTCTCATGCATTCGGCACGGCCAGGAGATGCAAATCCCCAATAGCATCACCTGATATCCAAGATATCCCATTGGCAGCGATCGTGACGTGGATGATGCACGAGACCGTCGCCCGACCGCCATCGTCTCTCCTCATCCATCTTTTTCTCTTTCTCTCTTTCCATCTCGTTCTCTTTAGTTTTCTCTCGACACCCACTCGCCAACAACCACTCGCGTATGCACCACGAGCGCATAGAATTATTCCGTTTCTCCGCGTGCCAGGGATCCCTAGTCTTCGTCGCGTTCTGGAAAACCCGACCCTTAAAAGCGAATGCTGCCACGCTCTTGCACTGACTGCAGCAACGGCTGCAATCTCGAGAAAATAGGGCTCTTAGACGTCGCTCGCAATCGTCGCATTGTGAGATGTCCGGATTGTTGCGCATTATCAAAAAGCTTATATTCTTAGAAAATATATTTTTCATTGTCAAAAGATATAACTAGACATTTTTTATATTTTTTATATTTAAATGCTTTTACATTTAAATCATTTAATAACGTGACGTTTGAAAAATGGGATGTTAACTTTGTAGAGATATTATTGCAACGCAAAAGTACTCTTCTTTATTTCTTCAAAAATGACAGCGTCCCTTCATAAAAAGTTGAATCAAATTAACGTAGCCGTGTCGCTATGACGATGATCCTTAGCTCTCAAAATTATTAGTCGAAAAATCATCAGATATTCACGCGTTTCGAAGTGCTTCAATCACCGGCGTAACTTGGCAAAATAGAAGACGAGATATGCATTAAGTCTGATCACGCGGCTAGAACTCGCCGAAGGTAGTAACGTCGTCGCGTAATCGGTTTCCGTATTTTTCACCGGCGATCCTCCGGCGGAGCTGCGGCTGTTTATCAGAGCAGGCTATAACGAGGGATTAAGAGCACCGAGATACGACGGCGACCAACGTCTGTATCCTTTCCTCTCATACTCTTTCTTCCTTCCTCTTTTGCGCTCTCGGCAGCCATCGTCCTTCGCTAACCGCGGTGGCGTTTTAATCGGCCGACTCCGATGCATAAATCCACGTTAAATAATACGGCAGTTAGCAGCACCATTAAGCCGTTCGAGATACTACCGCGAAACCAAGAGCGCGAAACCGCTGACATGTTCCCGCAAAGTTGGTATTTATCGATACTGTCGTAGAGAGAAAAAGTTAATGTCATTCGACGGCGTCGCGACACGCAACTGAGAAATATTGTATCGTTTGATGGGACCAAATATGCTCCGACCGCTATATGCACAACATTTTTCGTGAATCATTCAGAACACAAAATATTCGCGAATCAATTCGACACTATGAAGTATATTGAGACTAAAGAAATTGTAAAATATTTAAAATTGTATGTGCACACATGCATAACGCGAGGATATACTACTATTATTTATTTATTCGCGTGTGTGAAGTCGGTGTCTGATTTCGTGGAAACACAGAAATAATTAAGAGCTCTGGCTTTATTTTCAATAATTTCAGAGTTCTTGATAGTTTAAACAAATAATTCTGGCCATTAAAACAACAAAATGAACTTCATGCAACGTCTCATTTTGTCCTGCAGCATTTTTCTTATCAGTAATTATCAGGATTTAAAAAAATTATACTTAGTTTTACACGAGAGTTCTAAAAAAAGTTCTTCTATTTTTAAAAACAATAAAAATATTAATTAAGCTAAAATAAAGACAACCGAATATATTTATATAGATATTGAGATGAGACGCCAGTTAATTTTCGAGACTTATATTTATTCTAAAAAGCTATATGTATATTTTCGAACGAATCTCCTTCGAGTTTTAATTAGTTATTAATATTAAGTTTGTTGCAATCCATATCTATAAATATCTCTCTAGATATATCTATCGTTACTTCTAGCTTACCTATTTATATTGTGTATATTATAATGTGAAATAATAAGATTATTCTAATATATGTGTGTATTTTATTTGTTACAGGTAGCATTGCGAGACACAGTGCGATTCACGCGTCGTGTCGGGAGTGCCGTGTAAAAATGTCGCGCGTCGGGAGTGCCGTGTAAAGTGTTGGGCAATCATAATTATTGTGTTTCCGCGAGTGAATGCTTCGAAGGATTAAGAAAGGAAGAGGAGACCCGTGGAGGTATTGCGGAAACAATAGCGGGGCAACTCTAAATGCTGTGTACTACAACTCCGCTATTGCACCTATCGGTGAGTGAGAAACTGTTTATAACATTTCTATATAGCGGTAATAGGGGTGTGTGAGCGTCTCATTTTTTGGAATCTCATAAATAATCTGAGAGTCATACATTGATATTGATTTGAACAAATAGTTTTGGCGATTAAACCAAAGAAATTGATATTATTGTCAACTTCACGCGGTATATCACTTTGTCCTACGACATATTCCTTATCAATAATTGTTCAAATTTAAAAAATTTATAGTTTCTACAAGAGTTCTAAAAAGAGTGTTGCTTTCTAAGAATAAAAAATATTAATTAAAACTAAATAAACATCAGCAAATCTTTTACTTTTAAACTTAAATTGAAGAAAATGCCGTTTAATTTTCGAGACTTCTATTTATTACGAAATAAATCTATTATTTCTATAGTTCTGAGCATGTACAATACCTTTCCAAGTTCTAATATCACGAACTTTAAACTATTGAAAATAAAGTCAAAACTCAACTATTTATGATCTTTCACGAATTGATATGTCAGCTTCACACACCACACACAAATAATATACGGTATCAACAGCGCTATTAAGCCGGTTTGAGATATATCGCGAAACCGAAAGCGTCGACACTGTTCCCACAAAGTTAGTATTTATCGATATCATCATATAGAAAGAAAGGCTAATGTTTTATTCGATGGCGTCGCGATGCGCAACTGAGAAATATTGTATCATCTGACCAAATATGCTTCGCGATTCTATCTCTGATTTCTGGATAATACAAAATATTCACGAATTAATTCGACGCTGTAAATAAAGTATATTGCAAATAGAAAAATCGCAAAATGTTAAAAATTTTGTATATAACGCGAGGATGTATTATTATTCTTATAATACTTACTCAGATATTCATCATTTATTATAATAAAAATATCCATTAGGCAAATAAACAATTATATCTCCTGATTCTAAAAATATCAAAAAGCTGTGATAAAAGTAGCACAGTAAAACATTAAAAAAATATTTTTTGGACATACATACATTTTTCAAGTTACATAATCTTGATATAAAATAATACATTGAATTAAAATGCATCATTAGTGAAATTACGTGACGACAAATTTCATTATTACGATAGCTTCGCGATTAAATCAATTACTCGCAACTTCCAATTCCCGCTACAATCATAACTTTCAGTAATTAATTATCGCTGCTCTCCTGGCTTCTCTAGAGCAACTATATTTCAGAGGTCGATCGCCAATCGTCACGTCTCGCCAGTTCTGTCTTGGCGCTCGTTTACGCCACGACGAATAAAGATTCAAAGCGGATACGGGTCGTTAATCAACTGACCCGGACTCGCGCGTTCTCGTTGATGGTAGATAGGGTGGGCATCTTGTTTCCGGCAGCTTAATGCCACCGACGCGATTCATTCTTCGTTCCTGAATAAGTTTTCGACGAGAGCGATCGTCGGGGACGATTCGAGTCGTTGGCCACAGTAATTTCACCGCCGTGTCGTCACCGCAACGTTAATAAATCATAAGAGCGGCGCGACGTATCCCTTTGCTCTTAACGACAGACCCCTTTGATTATTTCTATATAACGAAACACCGAGAAAGTGATTCCAGGATGTCCCGAGGGAGGGTAGCTGCATGTAATCGCATATCTCGGGGTAACGCGGCGGGTTGTAAAGCCGCGGCCGTGCGGTAATAATCATAACTCGCAAGGACGCGTCTCTCTGCACAGTAGCGTATCCTCCCTTTTCTCTCTCTCGCTTGCCCTTTCGCGCCGTCCGGATCTCTTCTTTTTTTCTCCTCGCTTTAACGAGCGGCCGCGACAATCAACGCGATGTCTGCGGCACCGCGAGTCGCGACCCAATCTCGTTCGCGCGCGCAACTTTTTACCGCTGCTCCCGGAGGTCACGAACTCCCGTGCATACATTCCCTTCTTCTCGCCGCGAATTATACGCGAAAACGGTAACTCCTCCGACAGACAGTTTTCTCGGCGCGGCGTCGTCGCGCCGAAATGACTCACTATTTCCGTGCCTCGGCTGTGAAACAAGAAGTTAACGCTGCCCCTCGTTTACTTCCTTTACAGTCCTCTTTAGTTTAAGGGATACGACGAGGAGATCTTATCGCGGTCTCGAGACTTTTCCCTCCGAGAGAGAGAGAGACTCGTCTGAAATTGCGTAAAGTTCTCGGAAACCTCTCCGGATGCATTCGAAATGTCGAAAATTTTCTCTCGGTACTACTAGTTAGGAGAAACGTTGCGTTAATATTATACTGAATAACTGTAGTATATGTGTATTAAATGTAAAATAGTACACCTGCAAGTAACATTCGTGAAATTAAACAAAAAATATATTAATTAATTTATAAAATGTAATAACAGATACGTTTATATATTTATAAATAAAATATAAATATAGGTATCGAGAGAAAAAACGGATATTATTCGTGATAAAATGGAACGTTTCCAAGAAGAGAGATAATTTAATGGTTCATCGCGTATATTATGGATATGCACGCTTGCTGATAAAGCAAATTAGACATAACAAAATCAGGCGATGTGTACAAGAGTAATTAACACTCTTTTCTCGATGCATGCGTATTTAATTCGAAGAAAACATCGTCTCTTATCGTGCGCGACTTTTATCGCCTTCGTATATGACGTCAGGTTGTCGTCTGTAAAAATTCACGAGAAATCGCATGAGATCTTAAAATAGCGACAAATAGGAAGTTTACTTTCTCACTCACGATGGAATATTAGTTTTTTTTATATCGCGTATATATGCGTAGAAGCAGACTCATAGATATGCTATGCGACATTCATCTGCACGTGCAGTTAATATAAATACGCAGAAATTGATAGAAAAGATACATAATGGCATAACATATTTGCCGAGCGGATTGCTTAAGACTTTGCTAGACTTTACATTACGACATCGACGTTGTTGTGTCTCTTGTCTCCGGAATTGCATATAAAAAGTATACGTGTGCGTGTCATTCGTGTATAATGTTTGAATATTAATTATTACAATTACGCAGTAAACTATCGAAACAAATTTTATTTACAAAATAAAATTTTTGAAAATAACAATTACACTTTGGGATTATATGCTACTTACATTTTATTTTTTTTTTATTAATTATAAAAAATAATTTCATAAATTCTTATATACCCTAAAATGTTTTAAATATTATATAATATAAATATTGCCGTAGATTACTAGAAAAACAAGAATCTGTTCATTGAATTAATTCTAGACATTTATAAAATTCTAATTTCTTTCTCGTGACGGTTCTCACGAATCTAATGAGATTCGACATTATAGTAAAATGTAAAAATAGAGCGCAATTAAAACGAACGGACCTATTATTTTGTGATTTCGAGAGAAACAGAGGAACGTAGAACGATTATTTCGCTGTCGACTTTTGATCTAGGCGGAAAGTGCTTAAATTGCACTTTAATTCTATTCCTATCGGAGCAAGAGGGAGCAGCGCGTACGTGGCGAAATTCCGAAAAAAGGTGGATCAAAGCGGCAGGGAACCTGCAGGGCTGTCTGCTGCAGACCCGAGACGTGGGATCCATCGCCGAAAGGAAGACGAAACGATTCGAATAAAAGCTAAAATCCTCGGAACCACCCTGCGGAATCGTCCTGTGCGCCGAGTATCACGTCCGCCACCCCTTTCTCGTAACCCATTCCCGGTCGCCTCTCCCTGTCTGCCACCCCTTAGTGCATTTCACCCGCGCCAGACGTCAGACGTCCTCACCGCAGTCGCAGCCACAACAGTTATAACCGTTGACGTTTTTGTCCCTTGTTTCATCGTTGCTTCGTCCTCGGATATACACATAGTCTCGCGTGAAATTCTCTTTCTCTTTTTCTCTCTCCCTCGCATCGTTTCGTCGCGGTTCATCCGATTATTATCCGACTACTCGCAGTCTCTTCTTGGTCTTCAATTAACGCCTTTAACCTGCCATTGAGAAAGCGCTCCGTTAAGTTCTGTCTTATTAGGTATGAATGTTTAATTCTCGGAATAGTATTATGAGTTCCACGTATCTGTCTTAAAGTGAAATTGACAGCAAAACGTTAAGAGATTATATTTGGAGTGACTTGATCGTCACGATGATACCAAAATACTGGAAGGAAAGTTATTTTTGAGAATTATTTACTTGATTAATATTATATTATATATAATTATAATGTATAATATTTTGCGCTTTATATATATTATATTTTATAAATTAATAAAGATTAATATATTTTATAATCTACAAATTCTTATAGTTAATCAAAACCAAAGTTATTCTCACAATTTTTAAATCAACACTTTTTAATTAAACATCTACCTTTATTTTTTTCCTATAATGTTTGCAAAAAACGAATTCTTTTTCTTCAATCGATACTATCTTGTTGATGCTCCTCTAATACTCTAGAACAATAGGGGAATCGACTTAACACCAATATCATATACTGTTTCCCTTTCATAGATGCAATCGCATTATCCATGTATATTCATTGCCGAGACTGCAAGGTCGTCGTCAAGGTGCCTCATTCTCGAAAATGGATCGATGCGACCGTCTCGAAGAAAAGCGTTCGTTTATAATTCATAGGGATTGCAGAGTGTAAAATCGTAAGGGCTATGCATCAAAGTTAAAGCTTTAAATAATAATGAAAGGTATCTATTTTTAACGAAAACGTTCACATCGAAAACGTAAAAGAAAAAAATTTTGATCCACGGTAATCATTTTAAAACGAAGTTCGTACATTTTACACGAGATATAGCAAGATTGAAAAAATAAATGATAAGTGATCAAATTAGAAATAAAGCTGAACAAATTGAACCAGGGTGTCTAGCGGCCAGGGAAATCTATAGAAGACCAGGCATTGTCAATGAATTTTATAAATCTGGAATTGTCAGGGAAAAGTCAGGACATTTTACTATTTATTTGGATTTTTTACATTATTCTACATTTGTCTAAATAATTTGAAATTTGTTATTAAATAAATATAAACTTTTCCTTGACTCCCA